GCATTCTCGTAGAACGCGGTAAGATGGCGTACCCGCGACCTAACAGAACTAAAAATCTTCGGTGTCCTCGTTCCCGTGTCAATCTCGAGTCCCGTTTATCGTTTTCCCATCAATCCATCCACGATCTTTTCAAAAACGCGACGAGCATCGGTCGTTTACGCGATTTCACGATCGTCGTATCGAGCCTTCGACGAATGGCTACGGGTCGAGGGAACAAAGAATCGTTCGTTACCGCACGCGGTCGGGAATTTCAGCGTTTCCAACATTTATTTCAACGCTTACCTTTGCGCCAATTTGGTTTCCGCACTGGCCGGCTTGAATGTGGACGATTTCCCTCATGTTGCTTGGTAGTCTGTTGGACCTCTTCGAAGAATACTTTGATGAAACCGAACGACAAGACGCACGCTAACTCGTCACGAGAGCCCAGAAACGAATATGCCCCGGCAGCCGCGTCCGTTACAGATTTTCAAGCTTCTACGAGACCGCGGTGGGGCGACGGGGGGCGGCACAACCGAAGCTTCTGATTGGTCGGCGCCCGGGTACCGCCGCCTTTTCACCAGCCAGCGTTGACAGCGTTGCCAACTGCTCTAACGATTCTGCGGATGGATGTGACATTGTCGAAAATTTCGATTTGCCAAAATTGCACACCGGCATTGTTCAGTCCACGGGCATGCCCTCTCTCTTTCCAATACCACGACGAGAGAGTCTCCCCCTCGATGGAAAACATCGATTCGAGCATTACGAATTCGGTAATTGTCCAATTGTTTCCCAATTTGAGAACACTCATGCATGATAATTCATAATCGCTTAAACGGTCTCTCAACCTGACGTCTCGCTTGTCTGAGCCCCCTTCAAGAATTTAAGTGACGTATACCAAACATTGAAAATGTTAACGAACAAGCTGAGATGGGCAAAGTTCCCGAAAGATAGAAAAACAACTTTTCGTCCGTTACTCGTTAAGGGGAAATTAGATCATCTAAAATTAGTTTATCTCTGGCACTGTTTCATTCAATGAACATCTCGAATAGATTATAGTATTTTCATCCTATACCTATGGTATCACAGTCTTGATCGTTATTATTAAACACGTATCGTTTAAGATTAGACAATGATAAACAGCAGGTTTCCAGGTAATAAAAACTAATACCATCGTTTTGCTGTTGATACTTTGACAACGCCGACAAGTATAAAATGTTATCGATTATTGGGCGTGGTTAGACTTGAGGTAACATCTTTGTCGCGGGGGCATCGAACACGAAACATACTGAACTTAAAATTACTGAACTACAAATCGAGCTATCCTGCATAGTAATTGTAGACACATTTTTGTAGGGTTTACGAAAGTTTCGTTTGTCATGCTTGAGGAGGTAGCGCTAATTCACGACCGAGGGCAGATTTATTAAATCAGCGTTGTATAATATGCATTTGTACGTGCATGTATGGGTAGTTTCCCGAGTAATTTGACCGCAGATAAAGGAAGAGAAGTCGTCAATTTGGAGAGAATCGGACAGAATTACCTCGTTGACCTTTCGTTATTAAATTCATATGTTAGATTAGACGCGATGCTTATTTTATCAGTTTATTCTTATCTTAAACGTGTTCGTTATCGCGTCGACTCATGATAAATATATAACTGATACAGATCACTGCTTTCCTATCGCATTTGTCCAAATTTCATGGGGGTAACATGTTACCCCGATGCTTCAAGGGTTTAAGACTGCAAAGGGTATCATTGGACCAAATATCCTTGTTTCAATTTTGGCAAACAGTTATTTCATTGCGGTCTTTTCCACCCTTACCTAAGACTCACCCCACCTGCTACAACCTGGCTGCGAGAAAAATCGATAGGTGACTCACTGTCGTACACGCCCACCCAAATATTGCGGATCTTTACGAGAAACGTCTTTACCTCGAGGCAACAGCATCGCTTTCCTGGTCTCGGTTCTATTTCAAGATAATATGACAAAACAACACTCGATTCTTTTGTACTTCCTTAAAATACGAAGTTTCAAGAGTACTCTTGTCAAGAAACGAGGAAATCTCGTCGTAAGCAAAATTCCAAATACACACGTTTTTGTCGATTCGACGTTACTCAAACTGCTGAACACGATATCTGAAAAGTAAACTTTAACATAATAATCTGTTCTTGTTTTTCATTTTGCAGAGACTGTTTGAGGCACGATACTTTGGCATATCCACCCCTCCAGAGAGGTTCACACGTCGAGAGGCGGGAGGGACCTAATCTTATATGTTTAAGGGAGGAGAGAGGGAGTAATAAGTAATACTTTAATTAAAATATGATATGTCGTATTTCAAACGAACGCCAAAAACATTTTACAAAGCAACTATGTTTTTCTCGACAGACAGGGTGATTTCCAAAGGGGTGTGTTGCATCCTAGGCATAATTGATCCACACCCAAGTCCCAGACTCCGAGAGGCATTAAGCTGCACAGCAGTGGTCGTGCGTGTGGTGGCACACATGATCGAGTATGGTGGAAGAACGAGAGGAGACAGGAGAGCAGGTAGGGTGGGTTACGCGGTGCAACGTGTAAGCCCAGTCTTCTCACCGTTACCATGTATGGATCACTCGGTCTTCGTTCCAAATGAAAAAAAATCACTCGCTATCGCGTAGACGCCCGCGCGCGCAAGCATAGCCGTTCACATGTGTGCCGCGGGCACGCGTCCATTCACATACCAACACTAGGTTGGACGCAAACACTGTCGCGGATTGATAGACACGCGTCGCAGTACGTGCACGTAACTACACGTAACGGCGCTGCCAACAACGAGGGATCATAATTATTATCGACGTAAATTCCAACTGAGAGGAACAGAGTGTCTACCTCCGGTCACTCGCATAATGCGCCAGCGAATGCAGTTCTTTCGCGTAACGCGTTCATTGCGCTCGCCAACGACCGGAAGGCGTCGTTCCTTTACTCGTCGTTACTTTACTCGTCGTTCCTTTAGAACTCGTCTGCTCCTTATACGAGTTCATTTCGAATCGTTTCTGGCTGTACAATTCAACCCAGTATACCCAGTATACCCAGTATTTGAGCTCAGTATCGCTGAAAGTATTAGGCTCCTCGCGTGATGCTCGAAAATCGAGGGCTGTGGTGGCAACATGTGAGGCACGAGTAGAAAGCTCTTTCTCGCAACTTTGTTTGTTTAAGATTTGATTGTTTGTATGGTTGTTTTGCATGTCCTGACGGAAATTATAGACTACTTAATTGGCGGAAGTATCTATTAGGTACCGAAGTAGGCTACAAGGCCAGTGCAAGAGTGGACGAGTCACTGGAGCCGAAGAAACAAACGATGGCGGGACGACTCTCGATAGCGAATCCAAACAACGAATATTATCAATATCCGAGGCACTACCGTAGCATACTAACGGTGTACCAACTTGTATACTAACTCCTAAGACGACTACTAAAGTCCCACCTTGGCTTATCACTATTTATCGACACATTGATTTCGCCTTGCAAGGAACCAACGACGTACCCTTTTTTTCCTGCTATAATTTCTCCAATTATCGTTGACAGGACCGTTTGGTCGATAATCCTAGACTGTGGGGTTGCACAAGTCCACGTAGTGGTCTCGTTGGATGAGAGTAAGACCGCATTCATCGTTTCTATTAATAGCGACCGAATAGTGTACATGTTTTCCATGCATTCGATCTTTCTACATTGCACAATCTTCACGTATGAAAGTCCTGAAAGGTTGCGAGAGGTCAGGGTAGTTATTCATCTTGACACCCTTCTGGGGGCGACGCGGGGGCTTCCATTGGCGCGATTCTATTCAGATTACGGCTCTATTCTCATTGTCCTTCGCTGTCGCGCCATTTAAACGAGTCCGTGAGCACAGAGGCTCGGTGACATCACGTCCAATTTAGTCGTAGCGCACGCTCCCGCTCGACGGTAAAAAGGTTCCACGTCGTTACTGCTTAGAATGGATCGCGGTACAGCGACAATTGACTGTCGATCCACGGGTCTTATCTAATGGCGCTTTATCGCCGTGGTCGAGCAAAAACGTACCGTTTTTTCTTCGACTCGGAAAGTTTGTAGGTAATTGACTGTAATCAGCAGCGATGGAAGAAGCATAATTAAGCTTGTATGTAGTCGAGCTATGTGCACGATAAGGGTGAGTCATCAGCGCCTATCGAATTTCGCTCGAATGGTCTGGTTTCGCGAAAGTGTAACGGATAAACAATTTTATTCTACGTACATGATTGCGAGGGTTTAATTTTTACTCGGTTAATTTCATCGATAAACGGACAGTTGACGTCAAGTAGCATAATGTATTCCAGTGGGTGTCTAATTAGAGCCTCGCACGCTCATTTAAGGGTTAATTCCTCCTTGTTTCTGCGTATGAAATTCATGAGCCTTCCGGTTAACGCGACCAACGGTGTCTCCCTTCTGGCTGTTGGCTGTTAGCAACAACAAACGCCACAGTTTTGTACGCATGTCGAACGGGGGTGGCTGAGTCACGCTGGATATCGACCTTCGAAGGTGTCTCAATTTTTTATGTAGCACTAAGAACGCCGCGCGAGGTCGACGTAACCTTTGTATCTTACAACTTTAGAATCGAATTTCCACGCCCATCCTTCGACGGTAGGCAAGTCTTAAGTCTTAGATCGTTTAATGACAGGTAATGGCAGGTATTAGACAAACGTTCAAAGTTCAGACGTCTGTAACAGTAAAGGGAGCAAATGCTCGCTTGCAATCCTCTCTCCCCTTTCGTGGGTGAGCCATTGTTAGGAGACAATCGATCGTCGAAACTCGGAGGGTGCATCGGTCGAAACCTCTTCCTGTTGAGTCATTATCCATATCGATCCATCGATCTCGGTGGCAAACGGAAGAGTTGGGAGAAAATTGCGCATCCTGCGAACGTTTCGGAGCCACCTTCGAGCACGAGGGTAGCGACTCGGAACGACGAGGAGGCCAGGCCACTTGCCCCGCCTCAACTTTTATTGATCCCGTGGATGTCGTGCACGACAGATACGTGTCTAAGTATTTCCGCGAGCGTATATCCGTATCGACGTGTCTCGATTACCACAACCACTAAATAGCCTCGAAAGTGTCGCTCGCGCTTGGTCTGGTTTGCATACGTGCCGCGATAAAGAGGCCCCGCTGCGGTTTCCCGATAGAACGATTTGTGGTCGCGCGAAACACGAGAATTATGAATGAGAATAAAACAGTATGGGTAAAGGAGCTTGGAGGGTGTCGAGTAATAGGGGCCTTCGTTTGTCAGTCCAACGCCGGCAAACTAACTGCCAGTCGAACCACTTAGCAAAATTTCACAACGATAGGTTGTATCAAGGTCCCAAAATGTAACGAATGGAGAGCACACCACTCGCGAGCTGCGTGTTTGTTCAGCTTAATTGTCCGTTCCGTCGTATACATTTCAGGAGATTAATCGCGCCATTCTTCGTTCGGCGACAAGGGGTGGTGGAGCGGTATCGAGGCCAAGATTTTGACGCACGACCACATTCTCGAACGATCTCGAGCGATACGTGCCTGAAAACGAGCAACAACAGAGCCGCAAGCTGCCGTAAATGGCATCGTTTTCTACTTCGGAGGACAACCTGAGAGGAGGCGAAGCATCGAAGAGAACCGAAAGTCGATAACGGTAGGCTCGAAATCTGATTGTGAGTCACGCAGTCGTTCTTCTCGCTCTCGTTCGCCTCCTCTTTTCTCTCTACACCTATTCAATTGCCCCCTGCCCCCTCTTCTTACCGCGATTGTTCAATGAAACATTTGATCAATTCCTTTTACCGATTCCGTTTTGTTAAACAACGAGCGTTACCAAGATATGGGCCATTTTAAGACAGTCTGGTTATTAAGTAACGCCCCGATGGTGATGTCATCGCGACACGGCGTTGCGTCTCCATAACGGGAAAAGCATTTACATATTCGGGGCTACGGTGCATGTTTGTACCAAACAAATACCAACGGTGTTGTTACGCGACTGGAGAAACACTTTGTTCGAGTGTTTTTGTTGCGTTGGTACTGTTAGCGAGCGAGAAGAATGAATCTGACGACTCGCGTCAATTTTGCTTCCTATAAAATCGTGAAACGGAGGTCCATTTCTGTCTCCATGACCAAGTAACTTCCCCATCGTGCTCTATCGCTAAGTATACGCGATATAAAATGTCGAGACGACGATTTTTCGAAAAATTCTCCTCGTCGAATCTGAATTCCATGCCAGAGGCATTCTCCCCAGCTCTCTCGTGCACTCGACGATAAAAACTTTATTGAAAACCTGTTTCGGAGAAAACGACCGGTTTTAAAGGCCGTGCGAATCGCGCTGCGTTTAAAAGCCACCAGTCTTTATCTGGCCAGAGTATCGCGAACAGCGTCGAATATGATCAAGGGTAATTAATGTTCAACCCCTCGAAGCACGAGTGGTGAATTAAAATGATCAAACTTAACCCAAATTCTTGTCCGATACGAATCTTTTCCACCGCGTTCTTTTATATTTTATTTTCGCCGCATAGTTGATATCCCTTTTCATCAAAATCAGGCAAATTTGTATCGCTTAAACTCGTGTCTCAAACTTATTGTCGCCTTTGCTCCGTCCAAATCGTCCATCCAAAGAACGAAAAGAATAAGGACAGACTCGCTTGATCGTACCCGCGAGGCAGCGCGTCCATATTTGGCCACTCCCGTTCCATTATACTTGTCATCTTCTTTATTCGTTTCTTTTGGTCGTTTCTATCGTCGAAGATGAGACCATCTTCTCTCTTTCATTCGATCTCTTCTAATTGCTATTAGACGACCGTGTTACAATTTAGGAAATTAATCAGGCAAGTGGATGTATAAGGCTAATTTCTCGGACATGTTTAATTTGCGTAATGGACCGTCGTTACTCGACGAGCGTGGCGTTTCGCGCGGGTTACTCGAGGTCGCGAGGACAGTTGTCTGTTTAGGTTCGTCTTCCATTTTCATTACGTAATTTTAGCCCGATCGCAATTTTCATCGAGCGACCACGAGCAAAAGTGTTCCGCGAACGCTCGACGGGAATCCTTTTGCTCGATCGCTCGCTGTTTTTTTATCTCGACCGCTAAAGGCGCGCGCATAATAAGTGGCACAAGACCACTTTCTATCCGCACGCAGCTGATTTCTCGATGCGAATCCAGAAACTCTGTGCCCATCTCCTTACACCGTTGCGTTCCGTAGAGAACTTCCGTTTTTACGCGAAAAATATCTAAAACTGGGGAGACCTTGGAGCATAGAAACGATCGCTGATATTTTGGTTTATCATCGATAGCACTTTTTATTAGAGCAGAGTAGAAATATCGACTCTGTAACTAAACGATCAAAGTAGTTGCGAAAAATGTGAGCTTCAACAGGGGATATTATTTATTAGAGTGCATTGAAAGCGTCACTTAGATTCGTAAGAAATGAGAAAACAATCGTTATACAAGTGGGTACGTGTCGCTAGTTTCTGGCAAATGGATCTTTTGGGGCGTAACCGAGCCCAGGGTGAGGATCGATTTTCGTCTGAAGCGCATTGCGGATATTTCGGATGGGCGGTCCCTGACTTCCCCGTGGATTGAATTGTTTTATATTCTGGCCACGGTTTCTTTATCTCGATTCCAAGCGGAGAACGATTCCATCGGTGATGAATCGACCCCCCTTTGCGTTGATAATCACGCGGTGATCGGTTGATCGGTTTATCTAATAAGCTGGTCAAAATTCAACCGAGCCATTTGTTATTTTCTCTGTGGACTCATTGATCGATAATTAAGTAATTGGAGAAAAACAACTTGTAACGCCTTGATTCTCAGACTACCGTTCCGAATCATTCTGTATTCCTTTAATGTCGACACTAAACCCACCACAGCTGATCAAATAATCATTTTCTAACTTTTGTGTACAGTTTCTTGTACACAACATATAAATTATGTACAATATAATTATTTCGTGAATGATTGAATGTAGTACCGAGTGAAGTATTTTTGCATGGGAAGAAGTATCTTTAAGTGGGTTAAGTGTTAACTGTAACCTATAACAGACCAAATCAAATCCATCACGATTATTCAGAGTAGCCAACGTCCGCGTATCCTCCAAGGAGAGTTATTTTCGTTCGGTCATTAATTTTCGCTGCAGGAGTCGAAAACGTTTTTGGAAAGTCCTGTCGGACCAAATACACATAAACCTACGGAAAGATCGTCGCCCACGCGGTTCCGCGACTCCTTTCCCTGGCTCGATTTCCGTGCCGGTTATCCCACGTGTGTCCTCTATGCTGTGTCATGCATTCGGCGTGCTTCACCGAGGAACAACCATTACAATCACTCGTTGCTCGCCAAGTTAATCTAACAATACCGCTACAGAAATCCAACGCCGCGCGCTTCTCTGCTATACAAATATCACTTTAATACAACGTATGTACATTGGAAGGTAACGGTCGACTGCGAAAAGACCGGTCTCGGATGCAAACTCTTCGTTTGCGATTAGTAGATTCTCTCACAAAAATTGCATGGAACGTAAAAAACGCAACCATGGTATTACGATACGATCCCTTTGGTTAAAAAGTCGGTAACTATAGAGTTGAATTCTTCTGGATACTCCAGTTGCACAGGGTGAGTCGCATTTTGTACTATCTTCAATCTGAAACGACAAAGTTTCGAGTTACTCGAGAACACGTCGCTTTGAATCCGATTAAAAGCTTGTTCAAGTAATCGTTCTATTGCTTCATCGTATACGAACTTTGCTCCGCGAATGTGGTCCTTCAAATAAACTCGATGAAACGCTGGGACCCCTGTGTCGTTGCTTCCTTGCATGATCAAAGTGGGTGCTCTGATTTTCGGCAGTAACTCTTTGCATATGTCGCCGTTTCTCTGTGTGTAAATGTTATCGAGCCCATCGATCCAGGCTGCCCACATGTTTCGGAAATAGTCCTCTCCGTAGTAGTCTGACAGCTGTTGTCGTAAATCGTCCGGCAGGGTGTCGATGTTTCTGATTTCTAAGAACAACGAACAGTGGGAATTAGACAGGGAAATTAGGGAAATTAATGATCTGGGAAATTAATTCGACCCTTTAACGAGACGTACGTCTGTACTCTTCTATTTCTTGTTGAGATAAAAAGGCTTGTGCCGCGACTGCCACGAGTTTTCTGACGTTTTGGGGGTAGTTGGCGCTGAGTATCAGAGCTGAGACACCCCCGTCGCTCCATCCCACTGGCGAAAATGTCTCAAAGCCTAAAGTTTTCATCAAATTACGGGCCCAAGTGGCGTCGCGCGAATAAAAGTCCAGAGGAAACGTTCTGTTCGGGGGCCTGGACTTTCCGTAACCCGGTGGATCCCAAGCAATCACGGTGAACTTTTCTCTGTCGAGTCCCTCTATTTGTGGCCTGAAGTTGTCCCAACTCCAACCTGCGGAGCAAGATTCGTCACTTTGATATGTTAGATAAAAGTGAGCAATCACTGCAATCGTTAAGATGCGAAAGTCATAGTTTGCTCACCCATGGCACCGGGTAGAAGCAAGATCGGATGATCGCCAGTCCCAGTGCGCACATAATTGATATCCAATCCATCGACGTTGACCTTTTGTTCCTGTCGAACAGTTGATGAGTTTCTGCTACGCGTTACCGCGGTCGTCTTAACAAGACAAGGTATCGTATGTTACCTGCACACCCTGATTATCGTCGCGACGATGTCCATGTCCACGTCCATAACCATGTCCATGTCCACGTGCTTCTGAGTATAGTTTTGACCCGTTCAGCAGGATCATGAAAAGAGTAAGGCACAGAACAGTCGACATCTTGGAAGAAAAACTTCGACGTCCAATTGCAATGATTCAACGACTTTCTTATCAAAAAAACGTTGTTGTCTAATTGACGGTCTCTCGCACGATGTTATCGTACAACGTTGCGCGAGCGAATACTTCTGCGAGATAGCCAGCTCTTCCTTTTATAGTGGCCCAGTTCACGGTTTTCCCAGCTGTACAACAACTATTCGTATCTTAACATTTTTAATGGCTTCTCAACAGATACAGAGTATGAGTAATACGGTATACCAGAAATTTTTCCTTGTTTCGTTGGCCGTTTTCCTCGTTCCAACGAGTGGAACTATTTGTTGATAGCGGTGGTTAGTGAATTATAATCGTTTCTTCGCGGACGATCACGTTTTCGAAGCGAGTCACCGATCTTTCGAAGCGAGTCACCGATCAGACAGTTCGACACCCCGCGAAACGTGTGTTGAGATTGTTGGGAAATTAAAGCACGATTTCTGGATCAAATATGTACGATATTAGCGAAGGAAAAAGATAAGTAAACATTTGTGATTCGTGAAAGGTATTTAATTCGTACGATATTAGTCCTAAAATCGGCATACAAAAGCATCGGTGCGCAACAGTCGGGTGGGAAAAGTTCGACCTTGTCTTCAGGTGCAAATTCCTCTCGCAAAACTAGCAGAGTCTCTCGTAAAACGCTACAGATAATTGCGTGGAACATACAAAACAAAACCAGGGTATTATGTTACGATTCCTTCGGTTAAAAACTTTGTAACTACAGAGTTGAACTCTTGCGGATATTCCAGTTGCACGGGGTGAGTTGCATTCGGTATTATCTTCATCCTGAAACGAAATTTCGCAATTAATTACATGTATTGTTATGTTGACACGTATATAACACAAGTATATACGAACTTTGCTCCTTGGATGTGGTCTCTCAAATAAACTGGATGAAACGCAGGCACTCCTGTGTCGTTTTGTCCTTGAATGATCAAAGTGGGGGCTTTGATCTTCGGCAGAGCCTCCAAGCACAAGTCGCCGTTTTTATTTCTGTAAATATTGTCGAAAAAATCGATCCAATCGGCCCACATGCTTCGGAAATAGGGCTCCCCGTAATAGTCCGTCAGTTGTGTTCGCAGCAAGTCAGGCAGAACGTCGATATTTCTGATTTCTACAAGAAACAGTGGATCGGATTCGACTCGAATCGTTTTTTGACAAAGTTCTTAATGTTTTACAACGTACTTCTGTACTCCACTATTTCCTCTGGCGATAAATAGGAGTTCGCCGACACGGATATAAGCTTCCTGACGTTTTGGGGATAGTTGGCAGTGAGGATCATCGCGGAAATGCCACCATCGCTCCATCCTACGGGCGAGAATTTCTCGAAGCCCAAAGTTCTCATTAAATTACGGGCCCAAGTGGCATCGCGCGAATAAAAGTCCAGAGGGAACGTCCTGTTTGGGGGCCTGGACTTTCCATAACCGGGTGGATCCCAAGCAATTATGGTGAACTTCTCTCCGTCGAGGCCCTCTATTTGTGGCCTGAAGTTGTACCAACTCCAACCTGTGTAGCAACATTCGATACTTGAAATTGTCAAATGAAAGTGACTGCAATCGTTAAGATACAGAACTTATAATTTATATTATTACGGTTCGCTCACCCATGCCACCGGGTAGAAGCAAGATCGGATGTTCACCGTTCCCAGTGCGCACATAATTGATGTCCACTCCGTCGACGTTGACTTTACGTTCCTGTTGAACAGTTCATGAGTTTCTGGAACGCGTTATCGCGGTCGTCTTACAAGACAAGGTATCGTGTGTTACCTGCACGCCTTGAACGTGGTCGCGACGACATCCAGGTCCATGTTCATGTCCATGTCCATGTCCATGTCCATGTCCATGATCATGTTCATGTGTTGCCTGTGAGTATAATTTTGACCCGTTCAGCAACACCATGAGAAGGCTGAGACGCAGCAGAGACGACGTCTCGAAAGAAAAGCTTCGATACGATACCATTTCAATGGCCTAGGGACCGAAAGCGTCTAATTGATACGCTCTCGCACGATCTTGTTTGTGCAACGTTGCTCGTGCGAATATGCCGACCAGATTACCAAGCTCTTCCTTTTATAGCGATCCAATTCTCGGATTTCCCAGCTGCACACACCTAGCGTATTTTGCCATATTTAACGAGCTCTTAACAGATATAGAGTATGAGTAACGTGGTATACCAGGAACTTTTCCTCTTTCTTTGGTCTTTTTCCTCGTTCTAACTCGTGTTACCAGTTGTAGATGTCGGTGGTCGTCTACGGTCATGTTTTGAAAGAAAGCCAACTACCGGAGAGGAGAGTTCGTCACCTCGAGAAACGTGTGTCGGGATCGTTGGGAAACTGTAGGACTCTTTTTGCTGACCCCCGACCTCGCAATTACGAATTGACGTGTCAGTTATTAGATAGAGAAATCTTTGAGTCGAGCAAACGTGTATGTTTACTATACTATGTACGATCCAGGAATGCGATCCTTGAAATGCACGGCATGCTCTTGACCCATCGATGGATCTTTCTTTCCATAGATAATCGGTGTTAGGGCAATTATCATTCTGAAGAAATTCCTCTTCGCAAATTGCTGTACTTCTTGTCGTATACAACTGTTGAAAAATGTAGCTATGCCAGGGTAGTCTAGAAGAGAAATAACTTCCGTGATCCTTGATCGTCTTCTTTTTATATCGATCTAGAAAATTTATATCGATCTTTCTTTGCTTCTGCACGGTTGTGCTTTTAATTAAGATTAGCTTCATTAATTACACTTGTTTACACCGATCAAATATTATTACCTCCAGTGAGTCAGTGAATATTTTTCAAAACGAAAACATACGTTGAAAGAATGAAAGATCGGATAACGTTCTATGTGTACAGCTGTCGGCGAGTGTTATTTCTGGCCCGCGTTCAGGGTATTTTGTTGTTAGAACAGTGCTAATTGGATCTGGCTTGTGGACCATCTTATTAATAACATTTTTCATAGCTTTCATAAAACTGCAACGAACGTTGTAAAAAATATTTCGAGGACGTCCTGTCTTGCGACCTGGATTTCGCAAACTCAAGCAGAGTAAAGATAAGTATACGCTTCTGGTGCAAACGAATGACGCAAAGGTACTTAATTCGCGTAAAGTCTTTATTCATCTCCAAGACAAACATACAAAATTTAGTAACAGGAATGATTGGAATAAACTATCTAAAGAATGTCGCTAATACAACATACAGAAGAATACAACGTCCGTAATAGTCGCGTGGAAAAGTTTGCCCCTGGACGAGTGAGACCCGCCTTGACCCCAGTTGCGAACTCCTCGCGTAGATAGATTCTCGTATAAATAGATAAAGATTCATGGTATTATGTCACGATTCCTTCCGTTAAAAAGTTGGTAACTATAGCATTAAATTCTTGCGGATATTCCAGTTGAACAGGGTGAGTTGCGTTCTCCATTATCTTCAACCTGAAATGAATTCGAGTTACTCGAGTTTTATAATTTACAATTAATAACAGTGTTGGTAGCGACATAAACTTGGTATACGCGAACCTTGCTCCTCGAATGTTGTCTTTCAAATAAATTGGGTGATACAATGGGACACCAGTGTCGTTCCTACCATGAACGATCAAAGTGGGTGCTGTGATTTTCGGTAGTGCCTCCTTGCACAAGCTACCATTTCGCTGTATATAAATATTCTCAAGTCCGTCGACGTAATTAGCCCACATGGTTCTAAAGTAATCTTCCCCGTAATACGCTACCAGTGGATCTCGTAAGGCTGCTGGTAAAGTGTCGATATTTCTGAACACTGCAAACCGAGGAACATCGTAGATCTAGAAGTGATTCTTCAAGAAGTGTTCGAAACTGTAGTGGAACGTACGTTTGAGTATGTTTATCTCCTGAGAAGTCATGTAGGCTTGAGCCGAGGTGGCTATTAGCTTCCTGACGTTTTGGGGGTAGTCACCAGCGAGTGTTAGGGCAGTAACACCACCTTCGCTCCATCCTACCAACGAGAACCTCTCGAAGCCCAAGGTTTTCATTAAATTACGGGCCCAAGAGGCGTCGCGGGCATACAAGTTTACTGGATACGTCCTGCTAGGTGGTCTGGACTTCCCATAGCCTGGTGGATCCCAAGCGATTATGGTGAACTTATTTTTGTCGAGACCCTCTATTTGTGGCCCGAAGTTGTACCAACTCCAACCTGCGGAGCAAGATTCGTCACTTTGAATCGTTAGATAAAAGTGAGCCGTCGGTGCAATTGTTTCAATGTTGTGTGGTAATAATTTATGCTGCGATAGTTTGCTCACCCATGGCACCGGGTAGAAGCAAGACTGGATGATCGCCAGTCCCAGTGCGCACATAATTGATATCCACTCCATCGACGTTGACTTTTTGTTCCTGTCGAACAGTTGATGAGTTTCTGCTAAATGTTACCGCGGTCGTTTTACGAGACAAGGTATCATATGTTACCTGTACACCTTGATCTTTATCGCGACACTGTCCATGTTCATGTCCATGTCCATGATCATGTCCATGTCCATGATCATGTCCGTGTGTCGCCTCCGAGTATAATTTTGACCCGTCCAGCAACATCATGAAAAGAGTAAGACAGAGAACAGCTGACATGTTGGAAGAACGACTTCGACGTGAGAAAATTACAATAGCTCAGCGTCTTTCTTATCGATGTCGTTTGCGCGACGTTGTTTGCGCGAATACGTCGACCAGATAACCAGCTCATACGTTTATATAGCGACCCAATTGACGGGTTTCCCAGTTGCACACACAAACCATCCTATCTAACCGTATTTATGACCCCCTCAACATATACGGACCGTGAGTAACTGATTTACGAAGAACTTTTCCTCGTTTCTTTGGTCTTTTTCCTGGTTTCAACGCGTGTTACAATTTGAGGATAAGCGTGGTCGATGAATTTTAATGGGACACTTTATCTGTGGCCTCGTCATCAAAGATAATCAACGGTCGTACAATTCGAAACCTTGAGAAATGTTTGTTGACATTGTTGCAATTCTGCGAGACGCTTTCTCGATAACCTTCCATGCTTTGCCATTAGGAATACGCGAGTTTATTGGTGCATATGGTGGGATACGAAATCAGTGAAGTTTACATAATATTGCAGGAATGTCACTTTAATATAGCATATAGAAAGATTGATACATAATGTTTAGTCCTGGTGAGAAAGTTTGCCCTTGTACGAATGAAACCCTTCTTAACTTCAGCTGCAAACTTCTCGCGTGCACGACTAGTAGATTTACAAAAAATGTACAGATGCATTATGTAACGATTCCTTCGGTCAAAAAATTGGTAACTATAGAGTTGAATTCTTGTGGATGTTCCAGTTGAACAGGATGTGTTGCATTCTCCATTATCTTCAACCTGAAACGACGAAGTCTCTCGTTAGGTGTCTTATAACTTGCAATTAACGACAGCTGTTATACTGACAACTTTATCTGAACAAAAGACATAAGTTTGAAGTAGTATATAAAGTATAGTGCTCGGTATATACGAACCTTGCACCTCGAATGTTATCTCTCAAATAAGTTGCATGAAACAGCGGGACACCAGGGTCATTCCTGCCATGAATGATCAAAGTGGGCGCTCTGATTTTCGGTAGTTCCTCCTTGCACAAGCTGCCATTTTTTTTTATGTAAACATTCTCTAGTCCATCGATCAAATTAGCCCTCATGGTTCTGTAATAATCCTCCCCATAGAAAGCCACCACCGTATTCCGCACGGCCTCTGGTATAGACTCGTTTCTAAATTCTGCAATCGATGTTATTATTCTGTGAACAGTTATCTAGATCTGACACCCTCGATGAGTACTATGGTTCATAGTAGAACGTACGTCTGAGCTGCTCCATTTCTTTAGGAGTCAAGTAGGCTTGGCTCGAGACGGACACTAGCTTCCTGACGTTATCAGGGTAGTTCCCAGCGAGTGTCATCGCGACAGCGCCACCCTCGCTCCATCCCACCAACGAAAACGTCTCAAAGCCCAAAGTTCTCATTAAATTACGCGCCCAGGAAGCGTCGCGTGCCAATACGTTTAGTGGATACGTCCTGGTAGGGGGTATGGATCTCCCATATCCAGGTGGATCCCATGCAATTACGGTCAGCTTCTCTCTGTCGAGTCCTTCTATCTGTGGCCCGAAGTTAAACCAGCTCCAACCTTTGAAACACGATTCGACACTTTAAATTGTTTGATGAAGGTCAGTAGTTTGTGCGATCGTTAACATTAGTAATAATTTATATCGTCATAGTTTGCTCTCACCCATGGCACCAGGTAGGAGCAAAACTGGATGATCACCGGTCCCGGTACGAACATAATTGATATTCACTCCGTCGACGTTGACGTTGTCTTCCTGTTGAAAAGTTCGTTAGTTTCTGTTTCTGTGGTTGTTTTACGAGACAAGGCTGGCCAATAAATTCGTTCGATTTGCGGCGATGGAAAATATCATGGAACAAAATGGAGAATATGTTATAGGGTAGATATGCTTTCTTGTCTAAGAAAAATTGCTGATTAATTCAAGCGTTAAAATCCGAACGAACTTTTAGGCCAACCTAGTATACATATATTACCTGCACGCCATTATTATGGTCGCGGCAATGTCCATGTCCATGTTTATGTTCATGCGTCGCCTCTGATAATTTTGACCCGTTCAGCAGCATCATAAAAAGACTAAGGCACAGTAATGATGCCATTATGGTAGTTAAGCTACTTCCTTATCAGATAGTTATCGCCTAATCGATGCGCTCTCACTCGATGTCGTTTATGCAACGTCGCCCGCGTTAATGCATCCACGAGCTTGCTACATCTTACATATATAACAATACTCGGGGTTTCCCAGTTGCATACATTCAAACATCCTAAACTTGCAAATTGTAATACAAGTGTGTTTGACTCCTCAACGTATACAGATTATGTTGAGTAACCAGTATACGCAGAACTTTTCCTTGTGTTTCTGGTCTATTTGTAGATACGTAGATATCTGTGGTTAATGAATTTTAAAATCGATAGATTATTTAGAGGTCAAGGTGACTGATTTTTGAAACAGCGTCGACTAACCATGAATTTAAACTTGGGAATGATTTTGGAAAATCTCACACAACGAAAACAACCTACAGAAAGGCTTCGCCCACATATGTAGTTTCGTGACTCCTTTCTCTAGCTAGATTTCGCTGTCCAGTTATCCCACGTGTGTCCTCCGTGCTGTGTCCGGCACTCAAAAAGACTCAAAAAGACTTCTACTTGACTGTAGAATGAACTTACTCGAGTACTCGGAACAGCCTTGTCTGGCAGGTTAATCAAGAATACCGACTAAAGAAATACGACACGCTTCTTTTCTCTGAGTATCACTTTAATAGAACGTATAAAAGCATATGATTATTCCGTGAGAAATTCGGTGACGAGAGCGTTGAATTCTTCTGGGTATCGCAGGTGCAAGTTGTGGGCCCCATTTTCCATCAGCTTCAGTCTGAAACGTCGAGATTCGGCGTGAGTCGAGTTACGAAATGTATCGAATCGATACCAATACGTTTCGCGATTTATTATCTACGAACTTTGCTCCTGCGATGTGTTCCTTCAGGTAAACAGGATGCTCAGGGAGAACCATCGCGTCCTTGTTTCCCTGAACGATCAAAGTGGGACATTTGATTTTCGACAGACACTCTTTGCAAATGTCGCCATTTTGTTTTTCGTATATTTTCTCAAGGCCGTCGACCCAGCCGGTCCAGATCTTTCGAAAATACTCCTCTCCATAAACCTGTATCATCGGTGCTCGCATTTTCTCCGACCAAGTGTCGATGTCTCTGAATTCTGAGGGCACGGAAACAATGAAACATGAAGCAACTTGCTAAATTACTTATAACGAACGATCAGTAAGAGTTAATTCTGGCCTGCTGACGTACTTTTGTAAATTTCTATTTCTTTTGGACTTATGTACGAGTTCCCTGCAACGGCTACCATTTTTCTAATATTTTCAGGGAACATTGAGGAGAGTATCAACGAAGTAATGGCTCCATCGCTCCATCCTATTAACGAAAATTTCGAGTGGCCCAAAACTTTCATTAAATTATTAGCCCAAACAGCGTCACGTTGGAAGAAGTCTTCTGGAAATTTCCTATCGGGTGGTCTGGACTTGCCATAACCGGGTGGATCCCAAGCGACTATGGTGAACTTCTCTTTGTCGAGACCCTCTATTTGTGGTTTGAAGTCTGTCCATATCGAACCTGCAAAGTACCATATATTCTACGAATACTTTCGTTTTTTATATTTTACAAATACGAATATCTTTCTTTTTTAAACACTGTCATCTATGTTCCCACCGAGAAACTCCGTTAGAGAGCGGCGTAATCGCCGAGTTACCGACCAACAAGCATTCCGTAAAGATAAGTATGATGTCTAAAGTGTTCATTTTTCATCACCTGCAGCACCAGGTAGAAGCAAAACTGGATGTTCACCCGTTCCTACACTCAAACAATTGATATCCACCCCATCCACGTTTACTTTTCGTTCCTGCTGAACAATTTAAGAATTTTTACTGTGAATATCTACATCATCTGATAAGATAATCGATGCGTCGTATGTTACCTGTGCCATCGAAGAGGTACCAAACGACTTTACGCCATTTAACGAACCAATATAAGAACTGGTGCGTAAACAAACCGATGTTTTGTTAATCAAACTTCGATTTAATATCACTAACATTGTTGGCTCTTCTGCCGACACGTTGTCACTTTGTAATATGGCGTCAAACGTTGATGGTCGTTGCTTGCCACGGTACCGTCTGCGTAATACGACTGTGGAATACTGAATTAGTCGCGAAAAAGATTACTTTGATGCATATATTTGGAATAATGACTCTCTCCACCATATCGCTGATGATAGCGAATGCGAGAACTCTCCCATTGATATATTATGTAGCGCTAACCTAATTCTACCAATCAGAATACTCTCCTTTTATTCGAACTATTTGAAACGCGTGTAATTTTTATTTGAAATAGGTAATATCGAATGGAAATGATAGATGGCAAATAAAAACTGTACATAGCATTTTATTCTCATGGTTTATTCCAATTAATTATACATTATGTATGAGATAACGCTGTTTACTTTTTTACAAATGGTTTCAAAGACACTTGGATAATTTCCAAAACTTTTACTCGAAAACGTATTTATATTCATTCGATATCTCGTATAGGGTATATAACGATCGCGTAATAATTTGTAGAGCATTAATGTTTAAAATATTTATTTTCGAATTATACAGTAATAATTAATGACGTAACGTCGAGTGTAGCTGATACTTATGAAAAATGTTAAAATATATCGAAAGTCAATATACATTACTAAGAGTAAAAAATAAATAAAAGTTTCTGGTACAAATTGATGATGTAAAAATGTTTAATCCGCATATACAGTCTTAAAATCATGATACAAATTTCTATTCATCTCCAAGATAAATTTACGAAATTTAGCAAAATAAATGATTGCAATGAACGATGTAAAGACGGATGTTTTTTTCTTTCACGCGATACGGCATAACGATAAGAAATCAAGAACAAACAATAGATTGAAACTTTTGTAATGACGTTCATAAGTTTGGTGCAGCAAATTTTTATATGTCTTATACCTAATTATAACATTGACACAAATAAAAATAATGAATCAGCCAAGATGATTAGAAAAATCGACTTATCATGAGTCCTGTTGATCGCGATTCAAAGCTCTGTGATATTCCTCTGTTAAATGTTTCTTATACTTTGTTTGATCGGTCCACAATTTTGCCGCTTGAGGATTGAGGGGGCTTTCATTGTTAGGTTCTGCAAAATAGGATATTACTTATATGTTGATGAGTTACACGTATATATATATGTATACTTACCACTAAGAAGAGATTGTATTGATAACAGTATAGTGCGCACATCATATAAAGCACTCCATTTGTCTTTTAATATATCCAAACAAATGTTACCCACTGCATCCACATTTGGATGAAAACAAGGTGTAGCAAAGCGCACTACCGGTGCACTGTATGGGTAACTATGGGGAAATTCCAAAGTCAACTTGTAAGTAAGTCCGGCGTAAACCTAAAAGGAAACATACATTACAGTTATTTACACCTTAACTACAACCTACACAATATTACCGTGTCCCTTGGTCCTGTGATAGTTCCAATCCATTTAAACAAATTTTCGCCATCCGGAAAAGCGGAGACACCTTTCTCAGTACTCATCATTAAAACCATCAGTTCCTTCTGCAATCTACATGTACATTTACCTTTATTCTTTCAACAGGCAATAATTATTTTTGAGTAAGCCTATTGTGCAATATAGCCACGATCACGATTATTCGCAATTTGGGATCGAGCCATTTTCAAATTTTTCGCCCAAACATTACAAGTAGGTTATGTTTTTCGGAATAATATTTGTAAAAAAAAAAATATTCTACATTGTACGATATAATGTCGAACAAATGAAGGACAAATCATTGATAGACAACAATAAAAGAACGTTGGAGAGTGAATTCAGACGGTAAATTATTATCAAAATATCAGACAATTTGCGTACCGTTTACTAACTGCATGGTTATCTTTTGGTACATTCTGCTTTTCCTCGGAAGCTTTGTTCGGCACGTTTTGAGACGAATAAAATGGATTTATATTCTGTGCCATTCCGGGTCGAAAATCAAACGCGATAGATGCTCGAGGGATTTCTTTTTCCTCACGTAAGATTTCCAAAGCTTCGGTTCGAGGCACAACAGTCACTGTGGAAATTTGAATGCTAGAACTTCTATCAACCCTCGTGAAAACATTCGACTTCGAACAGCTGTTGAAGGTGAAGCGACTGTTTGTTCCATGAATCTATAGCAATTGAAGAAAATATAGTCTCGACGTTAACAACATAAGCGGTGAGAATTAGTGTCAAGCTTGTCCGTTGGAAACATTTCTTGATTTCGACCTTACGCACACTCGGCAAATATATCGAATTTTCAACCATTGGTCAGCGCCATCTACTAACAAACCGTTCAAGTTTGTCGTAAAATAGTTTCCGACTTTTGCCGTTAGATGACGATAACGTGTCCTAGACCACGCGCCATCTAGCTGCAATGGCGAGAACTATCTTGACTACAAACTTGGGCATTTTCCCACCAATGGCGCCACTGATATCAAAACCTGCTCATTGAGCGGCTTATTGAGCGGTGACCAGCGGTGACTTTCCTAGTTGCACTGATTAGAAATGACAGCTGATGACAGCTTCGCTCATCTACGAATATAATGCATACCGATTGTGCTTACAAAGAAAATAATTGTTGTACGGTTGTAATACAACTTTAATAATCGATTTAAATAATCATATAAGGAAATAGTCACGATGCGAAGCGTTAAAACGAGATGGCAACGATGAATCTTCTAACAAACGATCGTTATAACAGAGTGACATAAACATTGAAGAAATGGCAACAGCACAAGGTACACCTGAATCGGATACAGGAAGCTTCGAATGCTTCCAGAATTATACGGCACCAGAGGTGTTTATACAGGGCTTGGCTGGAATAGTTGACCAACAGGATGTTGAATCCATGATAAGAGCTCAAAAACAAATGTAAGAATATTATTCTGGGTGTCTTGGTTCTTGCTGAATGAATCTGAGATTGTTTATTGCATGTTGAGCTGTTTATTATAGGTTGCAGAGATTTGAGAAGACCAATGAGATGTTAACAAATTGCAATCAGTTATCAATGAATAGACTAAAGACTGGTGGCAGCGAGTTCAAAAAACATACAGCACTGTTGATAGAGATGAAAAAGGACTTAGATTATATCTTTAAAAGGATTCGTATTGTGAAGAACAAATTGAGCCAACAATATCCTCAAGCATTCAATGGTAGATACATAAACATAAAAGTATAATGTATCAAAGGCTGTTAGCTTATGCCAAACATTTTGATTATATAGAGGCAGTCAGAAGCAGCTTGGCAGAAGAAGTAATCGTCGAGGATGTAGATTGCCCTGTAAAACCACTAGAACCTGAAGTGGTACCATTACCAAGCACGCCTCAAAATATTACAGACAGAGATCCAGATTCTGATGGTAACGAAACTTGCACTACAAGTAATCGTATTGCTACGCAATGAATTAGCTTGAATTGTGGACAAATTGTTTGTTGTTGAAATAGTAAATGTTCTTTAACTGCCTATATCAGAGATCATTCCATTACTTTTTTTTTTTACAATATTTATTGAAAAATCGTTTACCGAACGTAACGAGGTATTATTGAAATTTATATATTTTTATAGCAACGTTTTTTCGTCGTTTTGTTCGACCAAAGCTCCCGGTGATATTATAATTACGAATGAATAGAGTGGCTGTAAGTCAATTTCGATTATACTAGAACTTTACAGTGGTGAAAAGATTGATAATTATTAAAGTATAAAAAATATTCAACTATAAGCAAAGACTTTGAACGACGTTGATCCTTTTTGATAAGTATGTTACGATAAGAAGTCGATCGATAGATTTCGTGTAAAATAGCGAGCAGTTCTTCGTCGTTAAATAATTTCTATTTTAGGTTCTTCCTGTTTGTTTGTGCGTACACAATACGTGTCGTGTAGCGGCAAGCATTAGTTAAGTTACCGCACATCGTTCTTCGTTAGAAACATAAGATTAATCTCTTTCTGCTCGTTGTTAATACCATACGATGTACATGTTACAGCCATGGTACGCGATCCGTTAAATCGTAGCAAGAGTTATCGTACAAACGATAAACTGGTAAATTATTTCAAATGATCACGATACCGTGGCTGTGACGTAAGAGTCACACTGTAATGGATTGAAGTTTTAGGAACACCTCAAAACAAATATAAATCTCTGTCGTTCTATATCTCTAGACGCAGTTAATTCGTTTTATTTCCCGTTTGTTCCGGTGTACAAAAAGTCCCCCCTGTTCCCCGAGCTCGTCGCGTGATTGCGCGTAAAACTAATGACGACTTCAATTGTTCGTGTACAGTGCCGGTCGAGGAGTTTCAGTTTGCAAAGCTGCGGAAGCGACGAATAAAGAGCAACGATAGTTCGTCGACGGAGAGCAACAGCGATCACAGTAACGCCGACACTTCGTCCCGCACGTCCGACACTGGTTAAAGTACCACTCGATCCAGAGGTGTACGGGGAATTAAAAAAAATATATATATATATATAAAATGAATGAAAGTAAAGAAACGAAAGATCAACGAATGGGGAAAGTGTTCTCGAAGAAAGTCTTAATAATACATTTGCGCGTTAACATTACCGCGAGAATCGTTAACCGACAATAACTGTGTTCCTCGGTCGATGATCAAAGACCACCGGTGTCCACGATGTCCATGAGCAAACGAATCTGTTCGCGTGATCGTATCATTGTAAATCGCTAGTCTTGTGAATTTTGTCAATGTCGAATAACGAATAAAGCACTGTTTATACACCGTAGCAGAGTTGATCATTCCGTATAGTGGTAAGTGCGATCCGGGGATCGTACGACTGATCATGAAATAACGGTTTTACTCTGTATCTTCGGTACCTTCTTTACGATAGTAGATACAAAACATAAAAGTAGAATAATAAATCCATGTTTATGGGCTTTGAGTATTTAATTGCAAGTATTAACATTTCAGAGATCCATTCGAGTCCGACAAGTTCGGAGAACAATTCTGGACCAACCCTCCCTTCATGACAAATGGCGTTTCATTGTTTCGATCATGAAGCGACGTCGGCGTCACACATAAGTCAACATAAGTCTCTATCAACAGCATTTCGCAGCTGCGACGACGCGAGAATTAGTAGTTGATGCAAGGTTCTAGGTTTCATCCTGTGTCTATAGACAAATCTAACGTCGATCGATAACTTTTCAGACGACGGCAATCGATTGTGATTCGTAAGACGACCTCCCCCGTGCCGTCGCCGTAATAATGTTATGATAAAATTTGAAGAGTTTTATTGTACAATATATCGTTATTAAAACTTTCTGTATTAGAGTTTTTTTTTTTTTGTTACAAATGAAAAACATGTATAAGAATACAACTATCTTCCTTTTCTTTTGGATACGCTGTCTGCGCAGACGTCAAAATTTGTGCCCCACGTTTGTTGTTTTCTCTAGAACTGTTTTTTAAGAACAGTTTCCGATTTCTGTTTTCTACCATGCATGGTTTGTGCTATACACACACGTTAGAAGCTTCCATATACACAGGCACAGCCGGTGGCACCGCGCGTTCCACGCGCGGAAGACGCCAGCCGTCGCGATGCCAGAAACCAGCTGCGCCTCAGCTGTTTTCTATCCGTTCCATCCCGTGCCTCCCTTTTCACGGCGATGCTTCGACGTTTCGAAATAAAATCCCAGACAGACGGGAGTCTTGTTCTTCCAGATCATCGCTATTCACGCCTGGCACATCAAATTTCGCGATTTAAGTTTGGATAGGTATCACGAATGCGATAGATACGTAACGCCTTTCTTCGCCTGATTCACCGTGTACATTACTTAAATTCGTCCCCATCGATACATTAATCGCAAAATGACGCAATGACGGAAAAGGTGACGGGTGAAGCCCCGCGACGCTAGCCAGGAAGAAGAGGCTAAGCTGTTCCAGCGACAGAACGCGGAAACGGCTGTTTAATCTTATCCGGTTCACCTGTTCTATTCGACAGCCAGACTCGTTCTTTAGCGGCTGCACGCGCAGTCAGACCGCACACAACGCGCGCCTTTTGTCGACGACGAGCACAACGAAAACAGTTTATTACGAAGCTCGGGAAAATTATTTCTTTCACCCCAGAGCGGACCGCGTTTTTCCACGCGAGCTTTGTTTCGCCGCGTTTGAGCGGGGGTGGTTTTGGTCTGTCTGTTGTCACTCGATGGCGACTGTCTCGGGGACGTTGACCAGAACTTCCCTCGGACAGGAAGAGAGAATGCGGTAGAGCTACGGTCAGGGGTAGTTCACTTAACCCTCTAGAAACTGTTAACATAGTACTTTTACATCATTGAACAGTCCTGCAGGCTGACAAAATGCGGTCTTGTTAAAAAGCATCGAGCGAGCAGTCCCTGGCGACGATCAGCCCCAACCCTCGAGATCCATAAACCGAAATAGGTGACCAAATGTTTCCGGTGCCTGACACATGAATGCCGTAGCGCGCGAACTTTCTTAGCAGACGTCTCACGCGTTGAAGCTATTTTGTTTGGAGACGGAATAGTGGGTTACTATTCGATTCCATCCTGATACGCGACGGATGTGGAGCCTGCGACACGTGCGCGGAACTCCTTTGTCCAGGTAAAACGTGCATTTACGCGCAGAGTGGGTACATTCTCGCGACGAAGCGGGAAAAATAGCTATGAAGGTAACTCCTACTAGCGGACGAGGGAAAATAAAATCGTTCGTAGCGACGAACGATACCGTACTTGCCTGTTTCCGCAGTCAATCTCCACCTGTTACGTTTTGCCCTGACGTCGCATGCTCGCGGGATTCGACGACCTCGCGAACAGCGGCGCCCTTGCCCGTCACAGACCGGCTAAACATATGCCCAGCTTTCAGTGTCCAGATCTCTGACGAGATCCAGATCTCTACGAGTACCAGAACCCTCTATCGAATAGTATCGCATCCAGTTGCGCCCGACAATTCGATCACGCTCGTTTACGATCCAGGAAACCGTTTCAATCTATCGCGAGCCTGAATTAACGGGCGCTTAGGTGGCGAGAATTAGGCGACGAAGCAATCTAAGTTTCCTCGCGGGGAACCATCCCCGTCGCCGTCCGTTTATTCCCCGCTTTTTTCGTTCTCGCGGAGTTACGTTGGGTTTCCTCGCGAGTGGAAAAAAGGAGGCGAGGTCGCGAGCGAAACCGTTTGGCGCGGACGTGTCTCGGGCGGCTTTTAATTTGCGCGCGAACAAAGCTCGCGGCTCGATAAACCCCTGGGAATAACGTCGAATCCAGCGTTTGGGAAAGCGGGGCTCGAACGCAAAGTTCAATTTGTACGACGAGCTGCCGTAAGTTTCGACGGGTGATGCCGTCACTCGCAGACGAATCGAAGCCACGTTTTACACGGCGATAGAGCGGTACGCACTACACCTCCGGCCACCACTCGTAATTTACGACTTATCGGTCCGTGCTCTGCGGGGACGGGGTGGTGGGGCAGGGGTCGGAAGGGGGGTAATTTTCGCGCTTGTGAAAATTATACCGACGTGGCTCGTGCTCGTCCAACGAATTTTCCATCTCGCTCTCGCTTCGTTTACCCCCTGGCCTTTCCGTTTATTCCTCCTCCTCCCCTCCCCCCTCCTTCCACCCCCTCCACCCCCCCTCCCGCCCTCGAACCCCACCGGCACCAATCCCGCCACTCTCTGGAAGTGACGCAAAATCGTGCTCTCGGCGTGGGCTGGCTTGTACCCGGGATGTCGATACCACGAGGAGCGGATGTCAATAGCACGAAGTCACTCCTTCTCGCGAGGGAGAAACCGCGTCAGGCCGATTTTACCCGCCGCGAAAAAGCGCACAACGGGCTCACCTCTCTTCCTCCGCGCGCCTACCTCTTTCTATCAATCGACGATTTCTCGATCGTTGGGTCGCGACGCTGCGTACAGAGGAGCGTTTCTTTTCCTGTTACTGTTTCTGACTTCGTTCGGGTCACTCGGGGGGGCGGGAGGGGGGCCTCCCGCCATTTTTTTCCGGGAGTTCGCGTGACTTTTGCATTAGGAGCATCTCAAGGTCGGAGCGATTCAGTTCGACGCGCAAGTTTGATCGCAATATTTCATCGACGAAGCATCTCGATACCGACGTGCTGTGCTGGTGTTCCGAGTACTTTGTCGATGTTTCGGCATTAAGTATCGATTTTCTTCTTTTCGGGATACCTACCTTTTTAGAACAGTACTGGCGCCGTGGTCGGGAAAAGTTGCCGGAAGTATCGCAGGTTGTTCTGGAATTCCAGCGCGTTGACGCGCACCCGCGGAGGAGTGTGCGTGGCGATGACATCGCCGTGACGGAGTGCTAATAATACGTATAATAGGCCGGTGGGCTGGCTTTCGCGTGTGTCCGTGTGGTCGTGGCTGAATTTGTGCCAATAAACAGGCACGACTACGGCGAGACCAGGGATAGAGGAGGAATTCTCTCGTAGATCGGTAACCGGGGGTACCCGATGACACAAGAGGGTTTCGCGCGCATAGCACACGCTCTCTGTGCAGCAGGAGACGCTCGGCTCGTGGAGGCGTGCAGCAGCGTGGCGGCAGATGCATCGTGGTCCTCGGGGAACCCCCGATCGATCGATAGCAAACGTCGAACTTGTCGGTCGACGCGCTCGCGGAACTGGGTCGTCTTTCAGCTTCTTGTTTCTCTCTCTCTTCTCCTCGAAAAGGTGGTTAATTCGAGATAATGGAATTAATAGATGGAGCTTCAAATGTATAATACTAGTGCATTATATTCTATTCGATCTTTGCTACTCACGTTTTTGCAAAATACTCCAATTCTGTTGGTCTAGGCGTCTACGTGCCAAGATGACCACTTTCCAATTGATCTTTCGATGACTTCGAGTTGCTCCATGTTTAAAAAGCCGAAGTCGCTAGAAATGGTTGTACACACCTTGGCAAGGACGAGAGGAAAGGGTTCGAGGCGGGTTGGGAGGATGGCAAGCTATTTCTCAGCTTCAGCGGCAGAGGCTTTCTTCGCAGGGAATATATCGACGCGTCAGGAACACACTGTCCCGTTTACAATATCCGCGGAACGATCGTGGATCGTCTATATTTCGGCGGCGTCTCGCGTCTCATCGACGCGTACCGTCGTCGATCCTGGACGGCCTTGGATCGTTCGTCTACCTCGCAAACTTTTCGCCGGTCATTCCCACGTTTCGTCGCTTCCCTCTTCGACGATGTGCCACGCGAGGCGACGTCCTCGATGCTTATGGCAAGTTATGTTCGCGAGCGACGAGGGGCATGTTGCCTTTACGCAGGTATGGTATGCATTTGTCCTGCAAAACGTGAGAAATTTGTCGATACTTCGATATCTATTGATTGGACCAACTAAACATTCATTTTTGACGATAATTAAATCTAATTACTAACGATATTCGTTTAAAAAGTGATCGAAAATATGATTTTGTTGTAATATTAATATTTTACGAATTCTTGCTTCGTCAATTAATTCTGTTACACGTGAATTGTTATAATAATGTATGTATTCGATTCGTACTCGATGCACTGACACGACGACGATGGTGGATGAAGGAACAGGTGGCAGAGAAGCCTGAAACTATCACCCCATTTTAGTGGTAACAGTTATTATATAAGATTATTCGTTCGAAAATGGTCAGAATTTTTGATAAAAGCCAGGAACGTCGCCTATCGTTGTTTCGGTGCTGGGGTGGATGAAAGGATTACCGGTGCAGGTTCGTAGCGAGCAGAGGTTGCGTAGTGGAGGTTGCAAACCACCACCTCTCGTCCTCCACCGGCTGGCATCGTTCTTCCTGTTCGTCGACGAGTCGTTCAGTCGGCTGGCGACAGCCGTCCGTGCCTCGCGTTTATTCGTGTCGCGCGTGCTGTGCCCCGTACTGTATTCTTCGATTCCTTAATTTCATATCGATCGATTTCAGCATCGTCGATCGACGGGAATCGATCGTTTAGATCGTTTTCGATCGGATGTTCGAGCACTGTTCCCTGGCGAGTGATCGAGGACATCCGAGTGCAACGCGAATGCATCATGACGCGCGTCGTTGCTCGTGGATCGCGACAGTTCTGCTAGATCCTTCCGTGACGTATCGATCCGATCGAAAGGTCTCATCTTCGTCCCGTCTTCTGGCCCCTTTGGATTTTTTTCGCGCGGCAAACTGACTCGAGGACCATCGCTCAGCCAGGAGGTAGGAACTTCCTCTTTTCCCATTTATTTTGATAGAACTGTTCCAACCGATGCATCACTTAACTCAGTATCGGTTAATCAGTAGAAGTAAACGATTAAATTCGATAACGAAATGTCTTTTGCTTTTGGAAAATTAATGCCAAGCATCTTTGTATTCCTGTATTTTGAGCGTTAGCGGTGATTTCACGAGAGAAGTTATTTGCAGATTGTTTAAAAGTGTATCGATATTGTTTGTTTGGAGTTCTCCAAAACTACTTCGTATTTCGGTTGCTCTGGAGTAATGACGAGTAAGTAGGATAAATTCAAATAAACACAAGTATAGAATATTTTGACTTCGATAACAACTACTATGAAATATATGTTTAAATTTCAATTATCGGTTATCATAAAATGTTCAAGATCTGTATGCATCGAGCGCGATACTTAACAGACCATCTGTTTTTGGAGCCTGAAAGAAAACGAAGCTTCCCTTTCCCCGTGTCAGTTATTTTACAAACAGCAACCTGCAGCATCCGGAACGGCGGATCGTGCGCGTTCGCGAACTCTGACCTTTCTCGACGACGTTAGAACGTGTCGCGGAGCGCCTGATACCGAAATGTTGACACATTCCACGTCTGAATCGATACGATACGGGATAGACGAAGTATCGCAGGTGACACTTCGATGCCTCGATCGACGCGAATAATGTTCATGGCTCGTATTCGAGTAACGTTATCCTGGTCGACTGAGACGAGACAGTCGACGGAGATGGGTAGATTGCAGATACTTGATTTCGTTTCACTTCTATTTAAAAACAGTTGGAACGATGTCGTGTTCGGACTCATTTTTACCGTGAAAACTTTGTCATTTAGTAATACTTCCAAAAAGATATAAATTCAAAGTCCCGTCAGATATAAAGTTCGTAGTGGAGTCCATGACGGCGCCATTTGTTTATCCATTCGCTGCTCGAGATTTTGTCATCCAGATGGGAAGTTCGTCCATCTCTGTCGATGACCTGTAGCAGAGAAGAGGTTTCGTCGCGGAGATGGATGGGCGTTTGTGCCGAAGGCGCACGTGTGCCAAACGGAAAGGGAGAGAGAACCGCCGACAGACAGCCAAGCAACTGAACGCCCGCTCGAGGAAACTCGAGTTTTCCTCCAAGGAGCAGGGAGATAAGGACCGAAGTACGAAAACCGTCAGGTGCATCCTTTCGCACGATGTTTGCCAATAATCGGTTCTACGGATAGGTACCGTTCGTCGCGATTAACCACCAACGAAGCGTCAGGATACTCGCGCCTCTTGCCACCCCCTTCGCTCGTTATCCACTTTGCTCTTCAACCGGCTGGGTCAACTCTGACCCGTGCTACTTCAAGCATTAATACTTCAAGCATTAATACTTCAAGTATATCATCTGACGTTTTTTAACCCGTTCGGTCAACTAAGAAATACCTCGTAGTCTGTGGTACAAGTTTAGATTGGTTGCAATTGGCCGAGGAATGAACTTGTAGTCTTTTCGGTGACGAATAATTACAAAAGGGGAACGGAAACTGTATAGAATAATACACGTCTGTATTAAATCACGGCGCCCAAGGCAAAACGCTTTACATCTCCGTAGCAGTGAACGAGTTAATTAAAATTTTGAATTTGCAGGATCGCGTACGCGAAACTGCGCGACGAGCAGTATCCCGTATTTTGAAATAATAATTAATTATCGAACCCGACAACGTTTTAACGATCACCCAAACAAATAAGAAACGGTCATACCAATTGAACGAACGTAAGTGTCTAAATTAATCGCGACTGCCTTACTCGGAAGTGGCGCGAACAGGACGCCACGAAATTTCGGCTCGCCAATTTCTGTTCTCGAAATAAGTCCGGCGCGAGCAATTTTCGCGTTGGCGATTCGACATTTTCAAAATGGTTGTCGGCTTCGTTTACATCGAACGGCGTGCGCAAATATTAGTCCGCTGGCTATTGGCGCAAATATTGGCTCGCAACGCTCTAAAACCTTCGCGAGCTCCGAAAGTGTGAGAAAACAGCAGGTGGTACCGGACGAGGATAAAATAATACCTTTCTACGAGTTCGCCATTCTTTCCGCGCGAAAATCACCGCGCTCCCTGAACGGATCGAGGGATGACGCCAGAGACCGCGAGATCATCGAAGCTGATCGAGCGAGGCGAACGTGGTTCCAGCAAACGAGTACGTCGCGACGATTTTAATTGCGACAGGGGCTTGTTACTAGGGTACGTTAGAGTTGTTGTAATAATGATGACACTAGGAGGGTCGAAGCTTGTTCGACCATTTTTTTATGAGATCTGAATATCCAGTACTTGAAGATCCTCCGATAGTTTATCCACGAGGTGCCAGCCATGAGCCAGGCTATCTAGGGAGTCTCGTTCCCTAATCGTGGGTGTCGAAGGTAAAGTAGCCGTTAATGCGTGCCAGGTCCTGACCCGATACGCGAAAACGTGCTCCCATCCGATACGAGGAAGGGGTAATGTGTGCGTGCGTACGTAGAAGCGCAAGACACGCGCCACCGTTGGCCCCGCTGTGCCCAAGTATTATATCGATTAACTGCTGGCAACAGAAGAGAGGCAGAGGAAAGCTTGTTGGAGAGTGGCGTGGCTTTGGCTTTTCTATATTATTAATCTTTCCTTCTCGCTCCCTCGGACCTGGCCTCTGCTCTCCGTCTAGCCTGTCTGCTCCAACCTGCCATACGTGCGTCCAACGAGTCAGTCAGGTGTTGCGGGCAGCTTCTCTGCTTCAAAGAGAATCGAGACTCGCGATTGGGAGGCTCTCCCTCCTTCTCATCCGCGACCACCTCTGGCGAAACCGTTGCCGTAGTCGTATCGCGAAGAAATCCTCGATAGTTGGCTGTTCTCTCATGTCTTACAGTCAGCGACTGTTCTGCTGGCAATGTATTTCGATGATGTATAATTTCGATGAAATAGTTCGTTCCGATGGCAACGTAAAACTCTAATAACTGCGATATCGATGCATCGTATCGTTAATCATATCATTAGTCGTTTCTTAGGTAGATTCTGAACTATCCTCGATCTTTTGATGAGCCTCCATGGTCTACGTATAATTGTAAGGTCTACGCAAGTTTGATAACAGGGTCTCGGAGGCAGGCGTCATCGATCAATGTCACGACTTTCTAGATGCAGCTACCCAGATTGATGTTCTTCGCGTGTTTGAAAGTAGATCCGAGGGACGTTTTCGCGTTAGACTTCTAATTGTTGAGCAGAGAAATGACTAGAGCGACTGTTCAGCAACATGCTGGAACAGGGAAGCGATCGATCGACGTGTTCAATCTAACTGGAGACATCGAACGGCGTACGCAGGTGTGCTTACGGTGCATCCGATTCATCAGTGTCGGCGAAAACTGTCGGACACGCGGTTGACCAGACTCCCGTTAAACGTCTGGGCACCTGTGCGAACGCCACGTTTTCTGGACGAAACGACTATCAGTTTTCGCTGTTCGGTTGTCAAACTTATTACACAAGGTATCCCGCGAGAGCGTTATAAACTGATAAAGGCACAGACTTCATTTTTGCCAAAGTCGAATGGTCCAGGAAAGCTTTTCTTTTGGCGAGCAATCAATTCCTTTTACGTTCGATTTGGTTCACCCCACGCGAACGTTCGATGAATCGAGAATTGTCGCGTGCGAGGTGATCGAGGTGGAAACTATTGGGAAAACCGCGAAAACGCATTTATGGCGATACCACGAGGCGTCAATGACAGCTACGAAACCAAAATTGCCCGACATTATGTATGCTTCGAGCAGAGGGGTGGAAAATTAAGCGCGCAACAATGTACCGATTGTAACCGGTTATACGGGCTTGTACGGGATGTTTCTAAAAGCTCTCGCCCCAATTTTGAGGGCACAGAAGCACCTTTTTTATTTGGATGCTTAATTACTCGAATGCTACATCCTCGATGCGCTTTATAATCTCATTTTCGTTGAAACTTCGCGCCCTTAGAGTCGTACTTAATCAACGAAACGCGTCTCGGTCAAGAATTCGATCATCCTCGATTCACGCGTTCGCAGAGCACCGCCTCTTGCAGACATGCTTTATTTTCGACGTTGTACCGCAATTTTTCATTGTTTTTCTCCGTTACGTCACTCTGTAAAATTCGCTACGCGGCCACGCGTAACGAGAAAAACGTCAAATGCCGGTCTAAACACGGCCAGGTCTGGTCGTGACACTTTCGTAATGAAATTGGGTTAAATCTTTGTAACCAACTGCTTTGGTGCAGTTATTCCTGTGGCTGATGGACGTTTTCACCTATGACCTACCGTTGCCTAGTGTGTCACGAGTTTCACGCGCGCGAGAGTAGTTGTGGTGGTATCAGTTGGAAGGTTCCGTACGGGATACCTGTCTGGTAAGGTAGATTAACCTGTCAGCCGTGGAGGATACTCTGTTGGCAAGATTCGGTGAAGCTGGGCGTTCTGCTGGCAACATAGGGCACCCTATCGACAAGACGTTTCGTTCTGATGGCAACGTAGGACACCCTATCGATAAAACAGTTCGCTCTAATGGCAACGTAGAACACTGTCGATGGTAATATCGACGCGTCACCGTCAGATTACTATTTCTCCAACTCGTAACTAGGCTTCCCGCTTCTGGTCTCGAGTAAACAAATCCTCTGTGGGGATCATCGAGCGATGGATTTCAACCGAGGTTCAATTTCCCAGCGATGAATTTCAACCGCGATGACACGGGGGGTTCCTCCAGGTCGCGGTGCGTTCTCGATGACGGGACCTGGACTCTGGACCGGTCGTTTGCGGCGATTCCTCCATTATGCGGTGGCGAGGGGGAGCGAGGGGTGACAGAGAGGCTGGGCGCATCATCAAAGGCCGGTGCGAGCAAGAAGACACACGGTGGCTGTGCGTGACATTTTTGTAATGAAAGCAAGCTAAACGTACGTAGTCAGTACGGCAGACATCTGGTCTGGTTGCCCGGTTGGCTTGCCTGGCTGGCTGTCTCTCGCCTGGTCGTTCTAATATTGGAAGTCGCGTCTCCGCCCCCGCGACCTCCTCTCCGACGGCCAGCGTACCATGTGCAGGACATATGTATAAACATAAGCACAGTCTGCCACGATGGTGAAGCCGTTTCTTTCAAAACGTGACCCAGCGATCGATCCATACCTACTCGCAGCTTTTTGTCGCCCAGAGGTTTCTCCTTCGGACGATCCTCGGACGCTTGAGTGTCCCTGGGCGTCAGCTCCAAGGAGACGGCCTCGAGAATTCTTCCTGGTTCGTCGTGGGTGTTGTTCAGTGAACGCTGCCTTGTGGAGATCCAATGATACGGTGGGATGACGTTTTGATGGTAGCATGACGGTCGAAGGTAAGGTGGTGGTGAGGTTTAGATTTGGGTGTTTGAAGCGTTGCGACATTGGAGAGTCTTGGTATTAAAGCATTTTCAAATCGAAGCGAGGTGATAGTGCTCAGGTCTGAGTTGGATGTCGAAGCCTCGGCATTAAAGCATCTTGAAATCGAAGCGTTTAGTATCGAAGTTCTTTGGGGCCCATTCAATTCAGTATCGAAGCGTCGTCTCGCAATTTGAAGGGCCCCAAGGGACCTCTATTCCTTCATAGTTACTAACAGGATGGTAAACTCACAGGAGGTGTTCTGGTCTTCCTGGACGGTACTTGGTCTTCGTAGACGTTCCGTGGCAAGAACGCCAACACGGAAACTTCGTCAAGCCTTCGTGAAGGGGATCCCCCTGGTTCGATCCGAAAAAACCGCGTACGTGAGGTCGCGTTTATATCCGTGCGCGCAACACAGCTGCGCGCAATTACCAGCCACGGAGAGCCGTGGATTTTCAGCCGTGGCACGTATATCGTTTTCCGACAACTCCGCTCTTGTTTGCTTAACTAAGCGTCTTAACGAATTGCCGCAGACGCGCGTCTGCCGTCGTCCCCCGCAGGAATTGAAAGCCCCGGAATGGCTCGTCGCCTTTTCTTCTCGACGAGCTCCGATCGATCGCCTGTATCGCGATTTTCAATGAGTTTCCTCGCTCTTGGATTTGATTTTCTTTGAAATCTCTTATGTGGTACGAGGATCGAAGGATTTAAGATCGAAGGATTCAAGGTCGAAGCATTAAACAATTGTCAGGATCGAAGCATTTCGTGATCGTGGCACTTGGATCTCAAAGATTTAGTATCGAATCGCCTGGGTATCGTCGACGCCCAATCGTATCAGTCCTCCGTAGGTAGTACGCGCATGTAAAACGAGGCTCGTAACACTTGCGACAATCGGGTCGCGGAAAATTGCAGACATCTGTAACAACAGAAGGAGATGGGCCGGGACGGCGATTAAAATTATTGCAGCCATCTGTTATAATAAAGGCTGTCAGTCGACGATGGGCGAATTGTTTCCCGACGGGTCGCGGGATCAACCACGGTGTCGCGTCCTGTGTAAAAGCGCGTGTAAGTGTGACGTTTTTATCGTTTCGCGCGGAGATTGATTGATGGCCGATAGTGGACGGGCGTCGCCGTGTGAAAGGACATTACACGACCAGAAATTGTTCCCGCGTTTCCGCCTTGTCGCGCGAACGAAGTCGAAAGGGCGTCGCTTTTCTGTAATAATTTCGATTCAGCATCGTGGAACAATGTGACAGCAATCGGAATTTTTTAGAGAGCTCTAACTCCTTGTAAGAACAAAAAATTTTCATGACTTAGCACCGAAAGTCAATTTTTGAAAAGTTTGTCAACTATAACATGGCACTACATTAACTGGTATCGATACGACGTTGGTCTCATCGTTGCCCGTAACCGTTTCGGACGTAAAATGATACTCGAATCGCAAATCTCCAGCCTGCCCTCTTCGCTGCCGTTTAACGAAAATTAATTCGGATGATTACTTTTCTTCGACGTCTAAAAAGTTGAACAAAACGGACGTTAAAACGGTTTGGCCGGTTGTCCCGTTAATTTAAATGAAATTATACGCCGTAAAAGTTTTACGCTCGAGGCAATCCGCGTACCTGTTTATTTATTGTTCGTCGAGCCGACTGCCATTGCGCTCCAGCGAATACAGGGTGTCCTACGGCAAGTGAAACGATCGACGAGGGAGTTGTTTTTTCGTCGAAATCTAATTAAAAACTATAGAACAAATTTTTGCCCCAAACAGATTTAACGACGATTATCTCGTAGACGGAGCGCAGTATAAAAAAATGTATTCCATGTTCTTCATCTATTTTTGCTTCCCTTTCGTTTGGACCAGCCTGTATAGCGAACGACGTTCTTCCAAGTTTCACGGTGAAAGGATTTCGAGCACGCATTTATCGGGACGTTAAAATACGGCGGCATTTGGCGATGCAATTTTGCTAGTAAAAATTATAGCTAGCCGTCCGTCCAGAGGGCCGTTCCTTGGACGAAACGAAGGGCTCGTTTGCATTTCACGTTAATAACGAGACCATGTGGCACCGAAGGCAGCCTGCTGCCAGGGCTGCGCGTCAATAAAATAAAATTCCGCCAGCAGGAGCTGCGCGCCACGTGGATCTTGAAGATTACTTTCCGCTTTCGTTCCATTTAATTCCCTTTTCCGTAATCTCGCTCGTATCGCTTCCCGTTGGATATTCCTCGGTTGCCATCGGGATCCAAAAATGACAAACGATTTTTCCGAGTACACTCGTGGCATTGACATTTTTGCATTTTGATATTGAAACACTTTGGGGATCGAAGCATCGTAGCAATAAATCATTTCAGGACTGAAGTACTACGTTACAAATAAATTAAACCAAGTATCAATTGTTGTTCAAAATAAAATACAAGAATACCTTGTTAATCTATGTATGTACATTAAATGAGCTAAGTCTAAGTCACGTGTATTTTCCTTGCAATTTAATTACTCCACCATCCTAAAGTATCAGCCGGTCCCTTCGACTTCCTTCTTCCTAACGACGCTCAGTTCCCATCGCGAAATTCGTTTATTTTCGATTATTTTCAAAAGTTTATTCGTAATTCCGGTGCGCCACCTGTACTTACGCGTCGCGTCGGTCTGCTTGTTCGACGTTCGAATCGTTAATCTCGCGCATTTGACGTGCACGTTAAAGCATTCGCCGATATTTATTTGTTCCAGACCGAGCCGCGGCGATCGGAATCGCTCGAAAACGTCCAGTTATTTGGGTATTCAGAGCGAGTCGCGGAATCGCGATGGGATCCTTGTTGGTTTGTAAAACTGCCGCTCGGTCGTTCCATTAAAATCAGTCATCGGTATGCACGGTGGGGTGCTCGTCGTCGAGCACGTAGACGAAATACGCGACCACGGTGCGGTGAATCGATCAAATATGAGAATCGTGATCCTGGGATGACGTGCATATGCTTTCGACGTTATTAGTCGGCCGCGTATTCGACGACATTGACGATCCATCGACTCTTTTTATCGTTGGGCTCCTCTCCTGGACCGGACAGTGCTTCCCTTGTCTGACGAAGGGCCACTGCAGATGTGCCTTGAGAGATTTTTGTGCCGGAAGGGAGGAGTCTTGGAGAGTGATGGTATTTCGTTTCAATTGGTTCTTTTGTGCCCTCAATCGTAACGTTTCTTGTTAAAAAATCAAGGGAAAAAGTAACTCGAGGCCTACAGGATGGTATATGTACCGCAACACATGAATATTTTCATTTAGTTTAAACATTCGTTGAAAAAGAACGTACGAAGACGGAAGACAATTAACGAAAAGTCTTTCGATTCGCCCTAATTGCACCTGCAGATGACTGGGTTAGTCTGAAAGTTAGGGAGCGCTCGCAGACTTCCCACAGACGCGTTTGCTCCCACCCCCTCCTCCCTCACTAAACCCCCTGAGCTAGACAATGGGGAATCTCTATGGATCGAATGTGTTGAACAGGCAAGAAGTTGGCGTACGAGCATGAAAGTGGAGGGTGGAGTAGCGACCACGACGATCCTCCACAAGGTCAAGGTAAAGGAAGAGACGAAAGAATGCTGCGGTTATCAGCAGTCGTCGTCGACAACGTCGACGGGAACCGCGACCATCGCAACGGTGACCGCCTCGAGCACGAGCATCGCGACCACCGTCACCAATAGCGATAGCAATAGCAACGGGGTGTCGAGCGTGGCCGCCACCCCTTCGACGACCACAGTACCCAACACCTCCCCCGCAACCGCCGCTATTGTCTGCCATCCGTCGACGCCAGCCTCCTCCGTCACCGTCACCGTCACCGCCAACGCAGAGCCCTTCCCCGTCGATCTCGATCTCAAGGCCAAGGCCAAGGGTGCGTTACTATTTTTTTTTTTTTTTTATTATTATCTATCAACACCATTACCGTTCACACTTCCACACCAATGTTGCATGAAAACACACGTAGGATTAGCTATTCTTAGGTATCAAGGGTAGACTACATTTGACTGTTTCAGGCATGGAAGCGTTAACGCTTCAGATTTACGCAAATGTGTTTCAGATGAAAATGAGGGAGAGATTGTCGTTATCGCGGAATCCCTTGTTGTTGTAAATTCTCCTAAAGCTGCAATTTCGCGAGAAATTGACGGTATCGGAATAATTCCGGTGATTTTCGCGCGGGGGCGACGAGTGGAAGAAAAGTTCGAGCAGGAAAAGGGAAAAGCAACGAGAGTATGTGTCGGGTTTAGCTGTGGGTACGTCGCGCATTAGTTTGGAATATTGCATAGGGGTACCCGTATACCCAGTCCGCGGGTACGCTCTCGTCCGAATCGTACATTTAGACCGAACTGGTTATCTAGACGGGCTGGAGCCCGCAGCTACCTTGGAAACGGCTCAGGAAAAAAGCCCGCCTCTCTCGTCAAAGCCCCGTCATCGCCTGTGGCGGCCATCGATCGGTTCTCGTGAACCGCGACAGCGGTCCATGCTTCGTGGAAAACGCGTGGATACTTAAAAATCCTTGGATGTCCACGGAAGGTTGCTGTGCCAGGTGAAAGAGTCGATCCGGAGGAGCTGGGAAATCTTGCGTCTCGACGCTTTTAGCATCGAGATTCCTCGAGTGACCAAGTGGCAGGCTCGACTCGAAGGATCTCCTGTCACTTGCCTTCTCGAGGGGAGTTCTTCCACCTCTTCCTGCTTCGGTTGTCATATCAGAGTACGATAACATTCGATGAAATTAGCGAGAGATCGAATCCTTCCTGGACCTACTTTTGCAGTTAATTGGTTGAGTCAAATATCGCGTCGTCGTCGACTTCGTTTGAAGAATTTTACGTTGCAACTTTTAATCCGTGAACGTAAGCGAAGAAAATTCCCGAGGACCGTCACGAACCGTGTTTCTTTCATCGATTTCGTAACGACGGTGGCGAGTCTTGGATTTTTCAGCGGAATTTCGTCGAAGACCGTAAAAAATTTACGCTTCTCGGATGGTTTTGTCCACGAAACTCCACGGTCCGCTTGGACAGATGGTTAGGCCATCGTGGACACACGCGTTTCTTTGGAAAACCGGGCTCCTCTGCGCGTTGCGTTTACTCTGTACTCCAATCCACGACGTTGCCGCAGAAAAAGAGCAAGGGAGAAAGAGAAAAAGGACGACCAGAATAAAAATTCGAAGTTTGAGATTTCGCTACAACTTCTGCCCGCTGTAAAGAGTACTGTGATCGTATTAATACGAGTTTCCAAGCCACCAAAAATCACGCCCGAACCAATTCTCGCCCCCTGAAATCTCGCCAAATCTCTTCACACCTCCCTAGATGCGTTAGCCCTTCCTGTCAGGGCGCGTAAAATTAAAATCCACGACTTTACGCAGTCACTCGAAAACGGACCCGTGCTCGATCTCCGAATCTACGACGCCGCGACGCCCGGTAAGAGCGACTGAGAGTCACACCGAGCGGAGAGGATCGAGACGAAGGGAAAAACAGGATAGCTAGAGGAGGAGGGTGGCGAGAAGAGCACGTGTGCAGGTTGCGTGGGTGAGCGCGCGGGCACGAAATGCGATCGCAGAACAGCTCCATAGGGGATGGCGAAACTCCTGCGAGCAGTCAGTCAAGCTGGTTGGTTGGCCTCGGTTGTGTTGGTTAGGTCGGTTCGTGCAGCGGCTGACTGCCTGGACCAGACGCGATAAGGCACGTCCAACACTTCCACCGGGATTCTGCTCGAGGCTGATATCATATCCGGTACACCGTCGGCATCCCCGACGTTGCCGTTCGAGGTATTTCGCGATAGTCGTCCTCTCTCCGCCTAACCGACCAGCTACCTCGCTTCTGCACCTTCTTCTTCTCGGATATGCTTACGACGTAGAACGAAAACGAGTTCTACCCGGTGCAGGGAGAAAGGGAGACGGGAGCGGGGGGAGGGAAGGCACATCCGTTCTCCTTTTCCGACCGCCTCCAATTTACCCGCGGCCGAGTTTTAAACGCCACCGATCCCCCAAGGTGGGTATTCCCCCTCCACCCCAGCACCGTCAACTTTATTAGGATTCGCGACTGCAATTCCGAGAAATGGGTCTTACGTTAGACCGCTTGGGATATTAAACTCTCCGCCCAGGCAAATCCGATTGGACTCCTGGCGACGTCTACGCCACCCTCGCGATCCCCTCGACGAAATTTTATCTGCTATCGTTTACCAAGTTGGAGGAGACGAGCATGGTGGTACGCGTGACCCTCTGTCACAAGGATTCTAGTTTGTTTTTTTTTTTTTTTTTATAGAAAGCGAAGGTACGATATAATCTAGTCTAATCGTTCGATGTTGTTGCGCGCTAGAGTGGAGGTCGAAGAAAGCGGGGTCGGAAACGAGATCGGAAATCGTAAAGAACCGTGGAAAAAAGGGGGTCGAGGGAGGTAAAAGGTCGAAAGAGAAGAGCAAAAGCTTCGCGAGCGCGAAAAGAAAAAAAAAAGGGGGGGGGGGAAACGGAGGGCGATCAGGAAATGGACCGAAAGGGATAGAAGAAAATAGAGTGTAAGAGGGGCCATCGAGGGAGGAGAGAAAGGAAGCGAGGGGGGAGGCGGAGATGGCTGGGAAGGGATTGCGATCAAAGCCATCTGTTGCATTGTCCCGGCAATTAGGAGGCGACAGCTGAGTCCCAGCGTACTTACTTCCACCCAGGGACTCTCAGCCGAGTGGAGCACGTGCGCTTTATCGATCTCTCTTCGTGAAACGTCGTCTGCGAAGACAACGAGCCGCCTCTAGGTTGCCCCCGCGTGTGCTCCAGGTGCGCGACGAAACAGCCGCGAGCTACGCGCGATTCACGAGCTGCTACGGCACTCACACCGGTGCACGAACGACGTGAACTTTTCGATGAACTTGTAGGTGAACGTTCCTAGAACAAGGGAAAAATATACGAGAAAGGGCGGCGAGAGATTTTCTGGGGCAGAGAAAATTAATGGAACGTTGGGATCTTTCGCGAAGAATTCGTAATTTTCTAAATTCGGATAGGTGGAGCAAATCTGCGATCAGCAGGAGGCGACGTAGAAAAACTTGACGGCCCTAAATTTTAATTAAGCTCTTCCCGCGTAACGTGGAAACTCGATAAAAGCAATTCACGTAAAGTTTGCGATACGGAAAGAGGACCAAAGAACCGCTGGTGGCTAAACGAAGAAACTGGCAACGTCAGCAGCAACAACGATCATGCCGTCAGCACTGTCCGTCCCGTAGACGCTTATACAGCGCCTAATAAAAAGGAAAAGGTGCAAGAGTTGGCATTCGTTGCTGGAACCGGCAAATCTGGAACCATCGAAGCATTCATGGACGATTCGAAATGTCTTTCTACATCAGGATCGATTGGGGAAAAAATAGAAATCACAGGCGTTCCAAAAGAAACTTCAGGATCTCCTGTTTTTTAATAACAAAACCCTAAAGTCTACTTTCGAAAACCCTTTGCTTAGGAAACCGTATGCTTGGGAAACCATACGCTTAGGAAATTAAGTTGAGGTACATTTTCTAAGCTCCCAACCGCGAATTGAAACCGAACTCAACCGCCATGTGCATCGACGAATTTGTAGACGTTGAATTTTGTTTATTTATGGAAACGGTTGTGAATTGGATTTGTTTCGTCGTTAAAGCGTTTAGGCGAGACGGTACTGCGAGCTGGATTCGCGATCGCTGGGGTTATAAGGTGCGTTTAAGGTAATTTAGTTTGCCGTGAGTTCAGGTACAGGTAATTACCTCCTGGCTACCGGCGTCAGGTTGCAGTGACACGGTGGCGCCGTCCTCCCTCTTCCCCCCCCTCCCCTCCTCTTCCTGCTTATCTACGTTACGAATTTACACGTACACAACGTTGAAATCCCAGCCCTTCGACCTGTCGAGAGCCCGACGAATCGACCTGGCTTCTTTGAAATTCCTATTCAAAGTGAAAATTTCATTACGTTGTTGTTCCTCGAGATTACAACTACCATAGACCTTGACGTCGAGCGATAAGAGGATGTTTTGGAATTTACTGCAAGAGAACGGTATCAAAATGCATGGAATTCATAGGTATACGGTATCAAGCTTCGATATCTATGCTTCTGTAACGAATACCGTGGATAGTTATCAAAATTAAGGTTGTTAAACGCAAAGCAAAATGAACGAAACGTCGTCGAGACATTCCCCAGCGTGTTTCAGAAGCACAGAAACCAAGCAGCAATAATTTTCAATGTAAGGCATGCACTCTCGTTACGTTTTAACAAGCGTTGTGTTTGATGGATTTTTTCCACGATCGTAACGTGCAACGTGTGAGAGCGCCTTTATGGAATACCATTAGCTGCTTGATTACGCACCAGGCACGCCCACGCGTGCAGGTGCCGTCGTTCGTAAAACTAGGGATCCGCGAACGAGGAAGTAATCGAGGTTCGCGTTTTAACGACCGCCATGTAAGCCTCCCACCGTGCGAGGGAAAACGAGTAGTTGAAGTATCGAGGAAGAATCGATCGATGGTACTCGATGAAGATGCGAGGAACGAAATACGACGCCCTACGCTTCAAAGACAAAAGAATAAGGGCCTTAATTTAAATTCGGGGTTGAAAGCGAATTAATTAATTAGCATCTCAATGTTTAACATACTTTGCAACTAGTTCACGCTCCGAGGACCCATGCGTGCTTGTATTTAAAAGAGAAATAGGGATAACCCCAGCGCCTTGTATCCGGGGATAAATCAATCTCGAAGGCGGGGGTGGTATCTCGATCAAACGAGATCCGTGTACTACGAGTTGTCTAATCGTCAAAGCAAGCTCGCAGACGTAGGAATCGCGCGTAAATCGAGATTAAACTGTGAAATGAAAGGAAACGTCACGAATCGCGGGATGAGGCTGTGGCTAGGCGCGGCTACGGCTGTCAGTTGGCGCTTCGCGACGCGTCTCGTCACGACGCGAGAACGATTCTTCCCTGTGTGTAACGTTTCGTTATCGGCATATATATATATATACATATATATATACACACACAAATGTATATATAGATATATTCTATATTTATGTATATATATATATATATATTCTATGACGGCGTTTTGCCACGCATGCCACGGGGCCGGAGGCATTCCGCGAGATAACGCGCGGAACACAGAATGGGAACAAGACAAGGTGGATGACACGGCCCGTAATTGCATGTTATCCGCTGCACCCACGCACAGAGTACACAGTCGACGCGCATCTGTGCCTTGGCGCTCGTGTGCGGGGGCTATCAGCGTGTTTGTAAACGAGTGGCCGATTCGCCTGCCCGTTTCACGTGCCCCGTGGTTGACGGCTCCCCGGATGTACCGAGCACAAAGGACGTTTGCGGCGACGTTGTCCCTTTATGCTGAACGCTCTTTCGACTCTTGCCGAGATAAATCGTGTTTTTTACCCTGATGCCTCGGTTCTTCGTCGAATCGCTTCCGGGCCGCGCGCTTTTTCCTCGCGACCGTATCGATCACTCGCGTGCTTCGCGTCAGAGGACATCCAATTGAAATGTCGCCAAGTACAACAGAAATTAGGGGAAGGGTTTAAGTCGCAATTCTATTGCGAGAGTCTTTGTCTCAAATATTTCTCAAATATGAACTCTAGAAGTGGGAGGTTTTCGACGAGTCTCCTCTTTCTTTCTCTAATTTATTGCGATAGTTTGCGCGAGACCTTGTCACCTCGATTCGGTTACGAAAGTGAGCACACATGAATTTAATTGCAGTGGGCTCTGCGACGCGGGAAAAGTCGTCGCGGGAGGAGGTCCAGCCGGAGGTGCACTCGCCGTCCTCTCATCATCATCAAAGAGTCGCTGCCGGTGCGTCGAGCGGTCAACAAAAGCAGAGCAATGATCCGCGATCGGAATACAAAGGGACAACCGGTTGCTCGGTGTCCTCCGACAGCGATAGTTCCTTGGCCTCGCACTCCCTGAAGCCCGAGTTCGAGGATGGAGTTGGCTCCGGCAACGCCGGGGCTCCTGCCAACTGCAGAACGGAAGAGCTGAACGATGTACCCGCGCTTTCGAATGGCACCAACGGCACCAGATGCATCGCTGGTGTTTTCGCGGGTCACGGCATGTTCAAGAGATTGCTGGGCACTCTCGTGCAATTCGCTACGAACATCTCGCCGGATACGGGGGACACCGTGCGAACTCTGGTGCTCACGCTCCTGGTAAATGCATCGAGTACCTTTTCGGCTCTGCAATTTTCTAAGTATAATAGACAAACGGTAGACCACGCGCGTATCTATCACGTTAGTTGAAAGCACACGCACCTGCAGGTCTCAGACTCGTCTCGTAGATTCCGATAACAGGTACTATACGATCCCACGAGGTCGCAAATTCTTCTAGCGATAACAATAACTAACGTACGCGTGGTACGCAAAGTGCACTCACGTACATTTTCCTACCCTTTACTATAGATTCTACGCGTGCCCTATTACCTGGAAGCTATAGCAGAAGCTGGAATGTCTTAACTTTCGAACTAGGTCTCGAACTAGAAGATCAAAAGCTATCGAACGCGTCTAAATTATACAACTCGTAACTATGATCAACTCGGAACTCGAATCTATATCCTCTCGGCAAGAAAGACGAGTCTCGTCACGATTCCTCGACACGAAGAATAATACCGTGGATCGTTCGACGTACCGGGGATATTCAAATTACGCCGTCCAGGACGCGTCACGTTACCGCGCGTACCGAGACTCGCACGCGTCCCAGGAAACGTGACATCTGGTAGCCGTGCTTAACCGTAAAACGATCGCGGCACGTGACGAACGCGAAATCGCGCTCGTGCTTGTCCATCTTGTTCGATGGAAACCGAACCCCCGTAGACCGGGATAACTTTTCGACCTGTTAGCGACGATCGTGGACGTTAATCGACCGGAATCCTCTCGGTTGTCGTTGCAGAACGGGAGCAGGACCGCTGAGGAGTTCCACTCGGCGCTGCAGGAAGCTACCAACTACCGCCTCAGAGGCTTCGTGTTACCATACCTGAAGCACACCCTGCCTTCCTTTCAGAGGGACCTGAACAATGCCGCCAGGGCCAGCAACCAGGTGAGTGCGCACCGTTGTCAGGGGGAATCCGCAACAGAGAAACGTCTTGTCTGGTTAGCGTTGGAAGGTAACGACAGTTTGTTCGGTGAAAGTATCTGGGTTAGTCTGGGTGTCTCAATTCGGTGAGTTCCTAGCAGGAACGCAGTTGGATTAGAATCGTTTGTTATTCAGGAGTCGATTCACTCGACTCGTACGTGCATATGTCGCCATCTTCGTCGGCGCGTTTTAAATTTCCTTGCCACGAATTTCGTCAAACATCGATCCCTCTACGATGGAAGGATATCGCTTCTGCTCTCGCGACCCGCAGTTTCTTTATAGACTCGATGTGGTATTATTCCGTGAATTAAAAACTTCTCGATCGATTATGGTAATGTATTGTTGCGCCACGATAATTGAATAAAGGACGAGGTATAAATTAATAGAGTTTGTACGAGAGAAGTCTCAGAATCACTCCACTGACGTGTCCTAAAGAGTGGGATTTCGGATGAAATGTTTTAGATGACGTTCAGCCAGGAAAGAAGGGAAGGAAAATTCGATGATAACGAGGATTTCCGTGCCACGGGTTTTCAAGTTCGGCTTTGCATTCGATTCGTTCGTCTATCTCGTCGTGAAACAGGCTGGCGTGCTCCCACCCACGATCGCGAAGTAGCCTGGGAAATTAAAACAGGCTGGCAGCCGGTCAGCCCGAGCTCTGTTGATTTTACTCGCTACTCCTGGACGCGTTTCCTCTCTTCCGTCTTCGTTGTAGGAAGTTTAACGAGCGTGCGCGTAATAGAACTCTAATCTACATCGTGGCCAAGGGACCAGAGCGCGTTAGCACGTTTCGCAACGCGATTCGTTCCAGGCTTTCTATTCGAAGGAGCGAATGCTGGTACACAATAATAGTTTGTAAAATGTAGAGAAACTATGCGCAGAATAGACTATAATTAACTAGTCGGATACAACAGGAGTTAACGCATGATTGTTTGATAATAAGTCTGCGATTCAACAATGGAGAGATGATGGAAAACGCAGGGTCTCTAAACGTGATGTACGTTTAAGACGATTAAAGAAAAGCCTGGGCATCGCGTAACCAGGATTCGCATTACGCGACTGTTGGTTCTCGAGCCGGTGTTGCGTGCACCGCTGTCTGCTTGTTAAAACCGCGCGTAATCCTTGTAAACTGAAGCGTTCTCGCTGATACTGGGCTTATTTATTCCTGCGAGTCTGTACATGCCTCGCCAACACGGTTCGGTTCATAGTTTTCATCCTCGTGTTCTTACGCATACGCTTGGGGTACCTCGAACCACGTGAACGCGCTTCCCTCGCGAAATACCGTTTAACACATCGTCTGCGAATTAAAACAGGTGGTTAGCGAAGATCGAACCCTCTAAAAGTTTCCAATTATTTTTGACTTCTGAACAGAGATCACGCAGTGAACGGTATCAGAGACCTATTCGAGCTTGTCGTCGGGAAGCAAGGATCCAAGTTCATTTTCCCATTTGGCGCGGAAAAGAGTACGTAATCCTCCTCGGGAAAGAATAAAATACGACTGGTGGAATTAATAGAAGTCTTCCGGTTACGCGACTGCCTCCAGCTGTTGCCCGTTTCTGAAGAGAGCGAAAAGAAAAAGTAGACGGAACACAGACGACGGGTGAAGGAGAAACGGGAACGAAGAACACGCGAGAAGCACGAAGGAGCGAGTCGCACGGTAACGAATTGCAAATTAATAGCAACGATTTACATTTCTCGAGGCAGTCACCGGCGAAGGATCGAAAGACCCGAGGCGACGGCAAATTCCTTTCGCACAGGCGCAACCTTCCCTCCTGCCTCTGATCCTTGACGACGGTGAGCGTCTCACGTGAGGATCGGAGGTCCTGCGCTTTTCCAAACGGTTCATTGACACTGTGCAACACGGTTCTTCTTTGTTTACATGTTCAATAAAACGCAAGGAAAATTTAAAAACAATTTATGCGAAGTTAGCCGCGACTAACGCATCCTCATGGATAGGATGCGTTAAATCGAAATGTATCGATTGTAGAGCAAGTTCTTGGCTACACAGACAGGACACTTCGTAAAGTTAAACGAGCAGTATAAGAATTTCCGAAGACGCCAGTCTTATTTCCTCTAAACCCTCGATACAATTTTGAGAAAATCGATCACGCCGAAAGTGAGCAGCTTTAGAAGGAATCCGTAAATCGACACGCGTCCTTACAATAACGAATGGTTCCCTAACCCCTGGCGAGTGTGTGGGTCTCGTGGAACCGCCGATCGATGATCGTTAATTGAGAATTGGGAACGCGAGAACGCCGCCGATAGCGGGGGCAAAGGAGACGGAGAAAGGTTCCAATATTGAATTAGAAGCGATAAATCCCACCCTGGCAGAGTTCGGTGCCGAGGGTGCGAGCTCGAAAGTTTGGACGAAAGGTGGTGCCAGCCGTAAAGAAGCCGACGAACGAATATTAAAAATCGAAACTGATTGGGAGCAGCCGTGCTGACCGGTCGCCCGTCGACATCGACGAATACGTACCGCTTTTACGACGTCCTGGGGAAACGATGCGTAAAACGCATCGAGAAGCAGGGGTTGGAATGAATCTGAAGCTTCATAAAGTATACGTGCTGGTCTTATTTTGAAGCTATTGAGAATTTATATTGCGCAGAAATGAGGATTAGGATGATTCCACCTTTCTCGTGGAGAAAATCGTCGAAAGACACCCTCGAGGGTCGACACCTTCGATTGCGTGGAACTCCAGGACTTATTCGTTAAATGGTGACCTTCTTTCTGCGTTAAATTTTAAATAAATGTATATATAGTACCTAATCAAACAATCTTCTTCCAAAAAAGTTTCAACTGTCGCACAGTCTTTAAGGCTTTGAAGCTGATCGATCGACAGGTGATAAGAGTTTCTTTCTGTCGACAGAACTGCGCGCAATTCTTACGTTCGAACGAAGCAGCGGTCCTGGAGGCGGTCGGGTTGCTGGCAGCGGGGGAGCCTGTAGAGATCTTCGGAGAGCAGGCTGGCAACGGGCTGGGAAGTGGAAACGGAATAGGAAACGGCGGCAATCAGTGCTCCGCTCATTACGGCATGCGGTCCAATTCTAATCCCGGTGTCGGTGCTATTCAACACACGAACAACGCCACGGGCAGTCTGCACCATTATTCCAGCACCGCGCCGCACGCACCGAAGCGTCGCGCCTCCGACACTCCGTGAGTGAATCCGTAATGCTGTCCGAAAATTTCACGTCGTCGCTTCGATTCACGATTTCGCGCTCCCGCGGTGCGATGGTCGCTTCATATAACATCGCTGGTTGGGTCCGATGGCGATGTTACATCGAGAGAGGGTGGCGCCATAATATTTGCAGTAACTCTTAACAATCATATGTTGGTTCTCCTATAGCTCGGGTACCTCGGGATCGCTAAACCTGTACCGTAGCTACAATCAAACATAGCTACAATCAAACATAGCTACAATCAAACATAGCTACAGCCCCCGAGGGAAAAACGACTTCGAAATATAAATTTTCATTCACGAAATTTACCAACATCGTTTCTCGGTGACAGTGGGTCGTAAACCGTAAAGAAGACCGCGCGAAATCTTCGGTCATCCATAAAGATAATTCACGCGCGAACGCCACCCACCTGCGCGTACACGCGTGCCTAGTATATTTGCCAAGCCGCAAACCGTTTTTGAAAAATTCTTGGCCGCGAGCCTGCACTTCTCGCCGATATTTATCGCGATCGAGCACCGAGAACGGCGTTAAAACGACGCGGTCGACGCGCGGTGCGTCCACGGTGACAAATTTAGCTTGGGTAGGTCCGGGATAGGTCTGGATTAAGTCTGCGCCGATAGATCGAGCGCGTCCTTTGACCCCTGATGTGAGCGAGCCGACGAAGCGTCGGTGTATCGAGATACTCCAAGGGACACTGCTCGCGATACAACATCTTGGGAATGAAGGAGGTGGTATTTGCGGTCAGTATATGATATGCGCGTGCACGCGGAAAGGAAAGGGGCGCCGAAGCGAGCTCGAAGGCGACAAAACGCGACGCGCGCGCTGGCAAAGCCAGCTCCTGGCCTCCTCTCGATATGTCTGCCGGTGACGTTTCCATATATCATCGGGGTACCACCTTTCTCGAACACCCCCGACCGTCCTTCTCCCTGGACCTCTCTCTCTCTCTATTCTCTACCCTTCGACTACCAGCAAACTTGCCTCGAGTACCTATCGGCATCCCGCTAATACGACCCACGTTCGGCTTACGCTTCGACGCTCCTGGCTGTTTGCGTAGCTCAGCGAGCGCGTGCACGTCCGAACTAAATTACAAAATCTCCCACCCGCTCGCCTTGCCCGCGATACCAGACTAATCCGTGGCAGAGGATTAACGCGTACGTAAAACGATCCCAGCCGATCGATCGCTCGTTGATCGAGAGCAAAATTTGCTGGACGAGTCGCAAAGGATGGAAATGGACGTTACTGTTGGGAGAAAAATTAAGCTTTCTTCTCGAATGACGGCAAAGTTACGGTGTTTTTTTTTTTTTTTTTTTTAGATAAGCTAGGCTTATAGCATAGGCTTCTATAAATCTTGGGCCTCTCACGTATCGATCAGTCTTATATCTAGCATATAAAATTTGTATCCCACTGACTTCTAAAATGTCGCAGGTATTACGAGAACGGTGCCCTTCTCGACGACGTGCCAGTATATGGAAAGAGGTCGTCGAACCCTTGGAGCCACCACCATCAGCAGCAGCCGTCTAACGAGAACTCCTCGTCTTATTGCTGGTATCATCCGCTTCATTCGTCGAGCGGATCGATGCAAGGTCACGGGCATCGCCACGGTCACGGACCCAGCCCGGTACCACCTAGCCTCGTGCAAATTAATCAGATAAACGCGTTCTCGGGCACGCACCATCTAGCTCAACAACAACAGCAGCAACAGCTGAGCCACGTTCAAACGCAGAACGGGAGCCTCGACGACGAGTGGAAGAACATCCACGTGATGCTGAATTGCATTCTGGGGATGGTCGAGAAGACCAAGAGGGCTCTGGCCATTCTGCAGACTCGTGGGTGTTCCAGTCCAGCCGCCGCGGCGCCTTTGGCAGCGTCCACGTCGGCTGGGGGAGCTCAGAATGGTAACGGTGGTAGCAACAGTGCTACCAGCAACAATCCATCCTCTACGAATGGTTCCCAGGTGGAATCTTCCACTGGGGATCGGGAGGGTAGCCTGAAACGATTGTCTGGTGAGATCGTTGCTCAGACTATCAGGGCGACCGAGGACAAAGTCGCGGAGGTGAAGAGGAAGGCTGGTCAGTCATCGTTTCACTTCAATCTTACTTTTTAAAGTGTTTCACGATTCGTCATTTTCCGTTCCGTTTGCTTGCAGAAGAAGCCGTGCTAGAGGTGAAGAGGGCAGCCGTGGCCGAAGTCCAGAGGGCCGTGGCAGTCGCGGTGGCCGAGTCCAGGGCGAACGAACGTCTCCGCGTCCATCGACTGTTGGATCTTCCTTTGTCGCAGAGGAATCACGGTGGCCTTCGTCAGGGACCCTTTCTCCGCGTCCATGGCAATCCCAGCGCGGTAGACTCCAACGCGAGGACCGTCGCGACGCCCACGACTACTTCGAACTCGATACCATCGACCACGGAGGACGAGAAGGACACGCATCTGCAGACCGTCTCGGGATCCGTGAGTATTCGTCATTCAAGTTCCTCTTCAAGTAGTACAGAAGATGATTCCTATCTACATATCGATTTCTCCAACATTCCAATCAATATTTCTGATACTGTAAAGCTAGGAGTGCGCAAAATTTACTTCGATATCGTTATCCATGTATCTCTTTCCATTCTGACTTCCAGACCTGCTGGAATTGCGGTAGGCCCGCCCTGGAGACGTGCGGTGGCTGCGGAATCGCGCGATACTGCGGTTCCTTTTGCCAGCATCGCGATTGGGAGGCCGGAGGACACCACGCGACGTGCAACAATCCTCCACCACGCGAGCTGAGAAGATCCGCCTCGCGTAGCCCGCCGAGAATCGCCGCGGGAAGTCTCTCGACGAACGCGGACGTCGACGTGGCCGCGCCGATAGCGGCCAGCGGCGCGTCCAAGGGGAAGTGACGTCGCGACGCCAAGTATAATCTCGTTCGTCGATTCGCTAGACCTATTCAATACGATTCGCGTTAACCCGTTCGCGCGATCAACGTTCTTTCGAGTCATACATCTTCTGCGTACCTTCTTCGCCCTCTACTTCTTTCCTCTTCCTCGAAATGCCTTTCCTCGTGTTTCTCTGTATAAAATGAAGTTTCGCGAAATCCGTACCGAGTATATCAATGATATATCCCTGTCGCAGTACACGCAAGATTTTACTCGTCGAGCAGCAGGATTGTTTTCGCTATTTAACGATTTACGAATAATGGAAGCGCGTCAACAAGGAACATCCGTGGAACCTCTCTTCTCTATGATCTCGATGGACCTTGCAAATTAATGGAGCAGCTGAAAATAGAAATAAAACAAAGTTTCAGTCGGGCAGAAATTTTGATTTGTCGACTCTCGCTTCAACACGAAATTCACGAGCAAATCGTTTGCTCTCTGTTACCGATCGCTAATGGAAACAGTATATTAGGTACACAGAACAAAATTGCACCCTCTATGATCGCTGTATCATCGTTCGTTGAATTTCTTCTTTAGAGTAGAGTATGATGTATGTCGTAAGTGGCACTTTTTTCTTGATGGACATGAAAACGTAGAAATACATTACCGCGGTACGTATATAAATGTGCACCCTTTCAAAATATTCCGGATCGTAGAGGGTTCGACTAAGCAATAATCTTAACGAATGCGTACTATCGAGTACAAGAATAGCGCTGACTATCAGTATCTCTTCTTTCGTGGCTTACTCGTTACATCAAATTACTAACAAACAAAAGATAAATTAGTACATGCCCTCTCCATTTCTTACACATTTTTCGCGAAGACCAAAGAAACGATTTTCCTATACATTCGATTTTCAAGAAAATTTAAGAATCACGCAAACTGCTTACACCCTTAACCGACTATCCTAAAGGTACACAATTTATTATCTTGTTAATCTTTCAATGATTCTTTTCATGACGCACTTGAGTTTTTACTTGTGTCGATATACGATGTAGGAAAAAAAAAAAAAAAAAAAAAACACACGGTGTGTATCGACGTTTTCCTAGTCAATTGATAGATTTAATGATCGCAACGAGCAATGTAACGAATGCTAATACAAGTTTTTACTTTGTACGCGTCGTAATGTAACCACCGTATATGTACATTTAAGTCTAGTCATCGTCGGGAGGTAAAACGAATTTATCGATCATACGCGTTAGGGAACTTTGCTCAAACCTAGATTACGAATCATTGTATGTTTTCCTAGCTACATTGTGTTGCAGGGATGTATGATGGATTCCATAAATTGTATTTATGAATTCACGAAATACATAATTATTCTATGTCATAACGCTTAAAGGAAGAGCATAAACAATTTCTTTTCTCCTTTACATTTTATTTTACACGAGCGCCGGCTTTGGGACGATTAAAATTTATCTAGTATAAATACAACGATGTTGAAAAAGAAATCGTTGTGTAATCATTTTTTTTCGGTGGGTCCCCCGATTATATTAGCAAAGAGAGCTCTTGTTTTTTCTTCTTTTCCAAGAGCGTCCGTCCAGTCTTTCTTATTTCTTGCAAAGAGGGGGACATTCAATTTATTGTATATAATTTGTCCAGATTTCGTAGATCGTAAAGATTCTCCAACAGCGGCCAATTCTTCCATCATCGAGATCCTTTGATTGATACGAGCCCACTGCCATATTCTCTCTAAACTTCTTGAGCCGTGCGTACTGGCGGCCAATTGTGCCCAGCATCCTTTCAACTTCTTTGCGAGCTTTTCCCTGCTTTTCTCACCGATGTATTTGCTATCCATAAAAGCATCCACGATGTGACTGCCTTTAGTGTCACTGAACAAGCTCGATAGTTCCTCTCGATCTGTCTCCAACAGGGAATTAACAATTTTTATCGGTTTATTGAATTTGAGAATAGCCTGGACCGTTAAACTCCCATGCAAGTTCACGCCGTACTTCGAATTATCTTGTTTGCGAAATTCTTCTAACTGTTCCTGTGTTTTCAGAGTTGCTATACATACCGCGAGCAGATGGGTTTTCTCTTTTGCTTCGCAATGAAGTACTTTTGAAAGCTGGTTCAAGAATGCACCCTGCTTGGTTTGTAGCCTTGAACAAGCATTTGCCAAGCTAGCTATAACTCCTGTGAATCCCTTATTCAGAATTTCTTCAAAACAAGTCAAAATTTCTTCAAATATCTTCTCAAAATCTTCCTTTACTGTACAGTGGTCCAACAGCCTTTGCACGCTATAGTTTGTACTTTGAGTCAAGGACAGTTGTTTCAAGTTACCAGAAAAGAATTGTTCATAAATTGTATACAGAGATTTGGATTCTGCTACTGCTATGCAAGCTTCTAATAATCTAGTAGAACATTCTGCTTCAAAAATGTTGGATAACTGCTGGTCCTTCCCAGGTTTAAAACAATCACTAGTAACTCTTTTGATATACATTTCCATAGTCTCTGGATATATATCTTTCAGAGAATGTAAAATACTTTGCAACAATCCAGATGTAAGTTCATCTTGACCAAACTCCATAAACTGAGGCCATTTGTATAATCTATTACAGGTTTGCAATAGTAAGTCCTTATATTCTTGTATCACTGGTCGCCTAGGAACAAACACAGATTTTTTCTTCTCACTGTGATCCTGTTTGTTGATCAATCCACCAAGACATTCGATTACAGTCCTCAAAAGATGATTTGCGTATGTGTCAAACACAAACTCTTCTATGTTATTTATAAAGTATCTGCTTAGTTTCAGTACAATATCATTGTAAGCTTTGATTTCAGATTCCTTCACCTCTATAACAGCATCTGTGCTTTCCTCTGGAGATGGTTTTGCTGAGATATCTTCATTTCCTCTGTCCGCACAGGTTGTTACAATTCTTTGTAAAACATGGCTAGCGAATCTATCGCTGCTGAGTGGTCGTAAGGAGGAGCCAAAAGCGTCGACTAATCTCTCAATCGTTTCCAAGTTCGCATATTTTAAAAACGAGTCCAGTATCCTCGAGCCAACCTGATTTTGAGCATACTCGATCTCGTGACCAACAGTTTGTTCGTACACGTTATTTACGAATATTAACTTTTCTTCGGGGGAAAAATCGCCTTTAATCAGCTCCAAAATACGTATCATGTACTGATAAGTGTCAGAATCAACGTGAGATCCATGATTCCTTTGCCTGGCGAATTTCTTCGCCATCTGCATTTGAGAACGTTTTTTCTTTCGTTTCTTACCTCTCTCAACACTGCCATGCTCGTTAGCCATTGTTTAAGGTAAATATTTCATTAACAATTGAACGAACGTACAAACACCACACGTATCATAGTGAACATAACCTCCTTACTTCGGTACACGCGTGTACTGCGTAATAATAGTTACTATACTGGCGCCATCGGTGGGAAAACCGTCAAGTTTGTTCTCACTACAAACTTGGGCGTTTCCCCGCCGATGGCGCCACTAAAAAGAACAATTCGCCATCTAGCAGCAACAACAGGAACTACTTACACTACAAGCTTTGGTGTTTTGCCACCGATGGCGCCACTATTTTTAAACTACCGCCATCTAGTAGCAATAGTAGGAACTACCTTCATTACAAACTTGGACGTTTTCCCACGGATGGCGCCACTATTAAAGGCAAAAAATTTTAAATAAAACAATTTGAAAAAGTGAACAATTCGACATATTAACACATGCACTTACTTAGGGAACGCTGTAGATCGTATCCACCTTGAAATAAAAATAGGAACAGGCATCCCATGCGATGTAAATGTTGCTCTACGTTCTGCGTTTATATTACATCTCGTTTATTTTGTACCTTACGATTTTTTTCCTTTATTTTACACACTCGAATCAATCTACATAAATCTTCGTACGGCGTATTGTAAATTCGACGAGTCTTGTATCAGCGCGTTTCTTCGTGTCTCAACAAGAAAGAAAACTCTGCAATGGACGTAATAATAGCGGAGAAACGTGGAAGAGAGAAGGACTTCCGGAATTGCAATTCTTTGGAACTCACTAGCCGTTTGTCGCGTCGCAGGTTCGGCTCGGATCTCTTGCAATCGTGTTTCAACAAATAATCACGGGAAAGTCTTAATTCGCACAAACGGATGTTCTATTATAGTTAATTAAAGGCCCCTTCGACTGCTATCACAAATAGAGAAAAGAGCACACGTTCAACTAAAGTAGCTCTCATCGAGAATAATAAATTTCTTCCTTACCTATTACGAGTTGTATATATATCTATATATGTATAGAGGATCGTTGTTTCTTTCTGGATTGACATTGACAGTATTCTTGGATCTACGAATCGGTAGCAAGTCCTTAAACATCCGGTGTAACGTTCACGTGAATCCACGGCGATCACTTGAAAACGTTCTCGAACAAATAGAATTTGCGATCTGTCTCTGTACTGAAATCCGTTACAGGTACCTTCAAACACCAATAAGTTCTTCGTACGAATGCACTAGGTCGTATTCGACGAGTTTCACTCGATCCCTTTCATCAAAGGTGACGCATCGACTCGTTTCTTCGTCGAATCGTTTACTTCAATTCATGCTAATCGTTCAATTGTACCTAAACATTCGTCAAGAGTTCGCATGCACGCCAGAACGCGCAGAATTTGTACGATAGCGTGCGGCAAAGTTTCTGAATAGTTGGAATGAAAACGTTCATTTCTAGAACGCGAAAATTTTTTTCGTTAACGAAGCGACGCGACGTCAAACAGCCCCGTATTCCTCGCTGGACGGTGACTCGTCGCTGGGAGGTGGCCTAGGAGGTCTCGGAGGTCTTGGGGGTCTGTGATGATGCACGACGGGAGCTGGCCTCCTCGGAGGTGGCGGGGGATGAGTCCCGTAGGAGGTGTCGTCCCCTTCCTCGCTACTAGGCGACGGTGACGGTGCTCTGTCTTCTTGTTCTTGCAGTAGCTGTCGAAACTCTTGTATGGATTCGTTCAGGGACCACAGTTGGGAAAGCAGAGAGAGATCCAGCTGTCGAAGACCAAACTGCGGAACAATAGATGAGAAATATTCTTATTTTCGGTGACGACTCATCGATGGAATGGTATCTGCTGCTCGAACGAGCGTCGTACAATGTATGCTCCATCCGAGCGGACACGTTCACTTTTACCAAGCGGTTTGCCAAGGTAAATGTTGTTTCGTGATTTACGAACTGAAACGACGTATTTCCAAGCAAGTAGCGACTCGATTCACCGGTCGTGGGAATGAAGGAAGAAGGAGTTACATAGGAGGCGCAAAATGAGAATGGAAATGAGAGGTGTCGGCGTGCAGAGAAGGAAGGTGAAGAAGACGAAGAGGAAAGATGGAGCGGAGGTAGAAGGAACGAAGGTGAAAGAGAGCGGTCACAAAAACGGAGGTGAAGGGAGGGGAGGAGAGTCACGCCTGAGGGAATGCAGCGTGGGAGCGGCTGTGCCAGTTCGCTTCGTGTCTGGATTGACTATTAAACTATTAGCCTAACTTCTAACTATACGTTTCTGACGCCAATTAATATTTTACGTGTCCTATATATCCGATTCCATACGTCATTGTTTCTACGCGTACAGATAAAAGCGTCGATACATTTAACGTATACTAAAGATATGCATATTTACAAAGTATAGATAAACGACTATTTAAAGAAAGTGTCTGACTAGAGAAACGTTTTCAAAACGCTTGCACTGATAAGTAGATTACGCGTAGCTAACGCCGGAGGTTTGAAAATAACAGAAATCGAAGTGACTGAAATTGCGCAACATTTTCTGGGACATCCAATGCGTAAAAGGTGGGGCATTTGAATGGGAACACCTGAATGTCTCCGTTATTTACGGTCGTATGAAAAACATCTTTGGACAAAGTTCCACTGTTTTAAGGAGAACATACGAACATATTTTTCCAGGTCGTTTGTTTCGAGTCTTCGGGGTCAAGGGTGCTTTTTTAAACGGAGACTAACCTACACTATCTTTATATAAATATGTGCATCGTTCTCGTTTCGTGTTAGGTATTATATCGTTCAAGTCCACCGAAGAGAACCGTTGGTCGAAGGCTCTGGTTTCAATAAAGCCATGCTTGCACGGACCAACAATACCTTCAATTTGTTAAACGAGATAAGTGGTATGTGTAACCCCTCCACGAGGATGCTGGTTATATGCGTTTAGTTTCACGGCTATTTTAAATACTCGAAGAAAAGAGGAATAAGAGTCCGGCATAACGGTCGAAATGGCACCAGTCATTTTGCGGGAGAGCGTGTCCTCTCCGTCGTTCCTTCCGCGTATTATCCCACGCTACGAATACATATTCATCGTGATCTGCAGTTTACCCACGCACTAATGTGGCCCCAAGGTAACGGATCGGATTGACGGAACCAAGCCGAGGAAATCGTGGAACGGGAGACGCGACGACCGCACGCATGCGAGGAATTTCGATTTTTCAGAAAAAGCGCCGCGAGCGTTAGCAAGGCCACCCGGTCGATTTAGCGAATTCGATCGTCAAAACGACCGGACTCCCGTTAAGATACGATCGCCGATAACCGGATTATATCGCTCTTTCGTTCGTAAAAACTCGTAAATCCGTGGAATTTTCCTATCAGCTGGTAAACACGGTTTACGCGACCAGGGATGACTAACGGTGTCTGGCCACGGTCGACACTTCCGCGACAGAATATTCATACCTCGTCGGTCTGTTTATCAAACATACCGAGAACGATTTGAAAAATACTCGTGAACGTTGGACAGGGAAAACGAAATTGATTCGCGTGCGAGATATAACTTCTCGCGGGCATAAACTAACGCTATCGCGAAAGGTGTTAAAATTGCAGAAGTTCAACAAGTCGATCATTGAATCTGATAAAAGATATCAAGGTTACTCGCACGCGCTGCGAATACTTCCAATTTCGGAGCTTCTTCACCGCGAGGAAGTTTTACTTTTCTTTTGCAACGTTAGCGTCGTGGACGATCGAAAGCGTTTTACGTAACATAAAGAGAAAATTGTTGTTTCCACCGCGAGCGATCGTGTCGCAATCCGCGAGCCGCTGGATTCCGCAGAAAATGTAATCGTTTTCTAATATAGACCAACGTATAGGTCCGGACTAGACGAGGCGAGTCAATAAACTGTGAACAATCACCATTTCTCTCCTGAGTATAGCCAGTTGAGTGTCCAAAGTGGTGAGCTGCCTGGCAGGTGGCGATGGCCTGGACGACGATTGCATCGCCGCTTTACCGCCTCTTTGAGCTTTGCTGGAGGATCTAGCAGGGGGTGGCGGTGGCTCGCAACCCTCTCGTCCACCGCTCAAATTGAATCCACTGAGACTTCTTGGCAATGGTGGCAGACCTTGCAGGGAAGACATCGCGATCCTCTCCTGTAAACTGCGACAGACCAAATATGCGTTCGATCGTTAAAATATATTCGTGACTGATTTTCTAAAATTTGGTGGGAGAAATGTACGGTGGTTCTTTGCTCCGTTTTCTTCGCGTGTCACTCGAACGAATAAAAATCGATGAAACCCGATGAAATCGCCCGAAAATCGGAAGATCGTTTAGGGTGTTGTTCACTGGTCTCCATCTAGGAAGAGTGTTGATTCGTTGGGAATCGATGTTGGCCCCGAGCCAAGAGACGCGCAGCTCCGACGAACCGTAGGTCGATCTCCCGCTAATAATCCCACAACGGCGTCAATGCTCGGTTATTCTCCCTCGACACATGATACTTGGCGGAACCGCGATAAAACGAGCAAGTCTATAAACCAGCCGATGATTTTTCCGCGTCAATGGCACTTTTCTCGCGTCGGGCTGACAAACGAAGTAGGTTAGGAGGTAAGGCAAATTAAAACCGCGACGATACGATCCATACAACGTAAAAGAAAAATTGTACAACGCATCCGGTATCCCACATTACTTTTTTCTTCTTTCGCGTGTGTTTTGACACGTAATTAAATCGTTACGGCGAAAACGTACGGGGCGAGTCGAATGCATCTCGTGTAACGCGAGAAAGTCGTACATCGAACCGCTTGGATCGTTACATTCAGACATCAATCTCATAATAGGTTTACAACCGACCGCGAAGTTCGCCCCGCAGTGGTATCACGGTTCTTCGATAATTAATGCGTTAGCACCGACACGTTCCGCTGACCTGCGAAACACTATATCGACGATTAACAACGCTTGTAAACTGTACACCGCGGGAAGAAACAGACTTGCGGCGTACCGCGGAGTTTATAGTTTCATCCATCCTCTCGCAACGAGTCGTGCGACTCGATCGTTTCGATTAAGAGAAATGTTGGATCAACGCTTATTTTCGTTGAAATAGAAACGCGAAGTATAATCACGATTTACAGTCAGTCTCACAAGTACCCTCTATGTATTTACGAGTATGTTATTGATAACGAAACATTTATTTGGAAATCTTAAACCTATCATTTGATTCAGACAAGATTCTATAGTAGACACAGGGGATACGAATACTTATGACTGTATATTTATATCAAGGATCTTTTTTGCTGTAGAACTTGGTGAAGATCGATGCAGAGTAAGATGATCAAAATCACGCTTGCTCTTATTACTATTCGAATGCCATAGAGAACACCAGATATCCCTCTGATGCAAAATACGAACAATTTTTGATACGATTAAAAGTCTACTAGTAAAAGCTAGTCGACAATTAAAGCTAGTCGACAATTAAAGTTAGATTTTATCCGTGAAAGGCAGAGTTTCTTAAACGCGAACTCATCTTTCCCATCCGATCGTCGAGTTACCTCAGTATATTAAGATCGCCGGCTTTCTTGTTTTCGCAGTGATCGAGTCCGTTGACTCGATCCCCGTCGACAGGGTCCCCGTCGTCCCCCGACAGCGTGATCTGCGTGGACGAATAGTGGACACCGGCATCCAGCCAATCTTGCCGATGAATGTTGTCATTCTCGTTCTCGGCCGCGTTCTGGTTGCCCTCGTCGTCGTTCGATGCGGCTTTACGCTCTGTTTCGTCGATAACGACCACGGTGGCACGGTCAACGCTCGAAACGGACTTGCTGTTTTCATTCACGCTCGCTTCCTCCCCGCCGGAAGCCTCCCCCGCGCTCCTCTTCCCAACGTCCCGATTTTTCGCCAAACACGATCTCTGCGTGGGCGTCGGTCGTGGATCGTTCTTCCCGCCCTTTTCCGCGCCTTTCTCCGTGCACGTTCTCGACCTATCGATCCTCGATTCCACGGCTGGAGGCACGTCACCGAATGACACGTTCAACCTGGGCTGAATCGCGGGTTTCGTCACCGATTCGAATCGTTCCTGAACGATCGCCTCGATCCTCGTCTCCGTGGACGTTTCGTCTCGTTCGTTCGTCTCTTTGCCATTCTCGTCGCTGCTCAACGCGGCGAAGGATCGATGACCCGAATTGCCGTTCTGTTCTTTGGATTCTGGACAATCTCCGGAATTATCGAGCTTCCGCGAACCCTTGTCCTCCGCGAGATTCTCGCGACTCCTCGTCAAACCGTGGACAACGGCGTCCAACGCGGCGGACGAGCATTTCTCGCCGAGTTCCGTGGAATTTCGTTCCTGATCGGCACGGTGTCGCCTTTCCCGCGGATTTCCACGTCGATCGTCCTCGTCTTCGTTCCTTTCACTCGCGTTGCGAGCCGTTCTGCGATCCCTGTCGACGACTCGAGCGTCGTCGTTGGTTTCGTTGCCGATCTCCTTGGCCAGGGGCTCCTTGATCGACTCGTAGACGACCGTGCGACCGCCACCGACTTGGGACACCTGTTGCTGACCGGGTTGTTCCTGATCGGATCTCCAGGGTTTAGTGTTGGGCGGTGGTGGAGCCTGTCTAGTGGGACAGGGCGGCCTTGGGGATCTTTTAAGGGCCTCTGCGACCACCTGCCTGCTGGGTCGAGGCGGCACGGGCGGTGGGTGAGGTCTCTGCGTTGCTGCCAACTGCATTTTTACCTCTAGCTACGCTAACGCGAGCATTCCGTGCCTTCTTTTTTTTTTTTTTTTTTTTATCTAAACGCGATTCGTATCGAGGTCATCCGCGATAACAGTAATCGATAGTCATCTCGTCGTTCCTGTTCCGGCGGCAACGAGCATATCGTACGCAACCACTGTCTATTTAAACGCGCGACGATTCATCGTTGAGTCAGATGCCCAAATAGAAATGTTTTTCCGCGGTAGCTCAATCGACGTGGATCGTTTTCACGTCGCCTCTGGGGGACTCAGCGTGGAAAAGAAACGCTAGGCAGGTGAACCGGGCAGGAACCAGTCCCTCGACGTAACTCCTCTGTTTTCTTCTGCGCTGGAATTTTACCCATTCAGCTCCCTCCTTCGCTCCGCGCGAAATACGTCCAAGTCTAGATGAAACTTTCGAACTACTACCGGAAGGTAAGCCACCGTTGGTTCGTTACTCGTTCGATAAGATTTGTAATTCGTATTAGAAGATTACATTGCGGATTGCGCGAACGGAAGCTTATTTCGACGACCGTTCAATGGAAGAAACTTTTCCATTCGTTACGCACCATTAGAGTAAATTGCTTCTCATTTCCGATCTCTATCGTAATCCTCTTCGTTTTCTTCTTTCAAAAACACCAGAATCACACCAACAACACTCCAATTGTCACCGTCCCGCTTTCGATAGCTTCGAACCGGTGCAGAAGCTTTCGATGCACGATGCTCACGTTTCGGAGGGCGGGAGAGACGAATTTTTTTCGAAGAAGCTCGAGGAACGCACACGGAATGTCGCACGTTGGATCGACCAGAGGATTTCGACGAAACTTGGAGGATGAAATCGTCGATCCCGCTTCTATCCTCGATCCTCGTTTTCCTTTCCCTTCGAGCTTGGGTACCCGCTGTTCGACCGCGGTAGCGTGTCCTCCTCCTAGATTCTCTCTCTGTTGCCCGCTGAACGGACCGCCGCGAACTGACTTCGCGATCCCACAAACATCCTTCGCGTTCGAGGAACCACGTGACTGGCTCGAGCTCGAGTTCGAGTTCTCGGGGCATCAGGTAGGCAGTAGACGTGGTACGTCGAGAGCCTTTGTGCCTACCAGTGATGGGATCGAACGGCGTACAGGTACACGCCGTATCACGACCGGGTGAAACCATTATGAATAGGAGTGTTGTTGCATCTTTTTGGAATTCATATGCACGTAGAAAACGAACCGAGACGACGATCTCATTGTAAACTCGAGTAAACATTAGCAGATCTTGGATTACTCGTCGCGAGGATTTAATTCTTCATATCTTGGCAACGAAACTTTGCAAGATGGAACCATTGCAAGATGGAACGAGACTTTTTCATTCGTATCGGTACCAGGAACCTACCTCGAAAGGTCTCGCATTCTTGGTGCGTCGAGACACGTGACTTTTCAGTTCCAAAAGATTCTCTATTTTGATTCGACGGGAAATGTTTCGAGCATCTTGTTCTTACGAGCAGTATCGAAGTCCTAAGTGTCGGATTTGATTCCAATTTCAGTTGGACTTGGTCCCATCGCTAGTGCCTACCTCCGCGGGTGCTGTACGTGTGCGCGATTGCATGCGATTGTGTGCGAGGGAGTGAGAGGGACGCGGAGAAGGCGGGACGGTCAAGATAGAGTGGTATGGATAACGAGAGAGCCCAACTAACGATAAGAACGAGATAGAGGATCGAGGGAGGGAACGAAGAAACGTGCAGTTACAGTGCAAGAGAGACAGGTAGTGTACACCTAGAGGATGGATGATCATGCTTCGTGACGTAGCCCTGTGGACGTTCGAGGTTTGAAGTTTACTCGCTTGTTTCATATATTTTGCAATTATTTAAGTATGTTTTCACACAGACCATTCGTAATTTTTCTCATTCAATCCTCGATATTCATTTAATTCATGGTAACCTTTGGGTCTTACTCGAAATTAATCATTGCCGAGGGATTACGTTAATAGATTTTGCGAGATAAATGTCAGCAAAATAGAAATTAATCGATATCGAAATTATTACAAAACTGTCCGTAAACGTTGCAAATAAATTGTTGGACATTACGTACGTCTCTAGCCTTTGTACATGTGTTTGTGTGCGCGCGAGTGCGGTTGTTTACGCGTATGCGGTAGAAAGAGACACGGGCGAGAAGTGGGGGACAGAAAAGAGTGTAAAAAGCAGGAGGAGAGTGATCGAACTGGTGTGCGTACGCGATTACGCGCAACGAGGGAGAGAGACGAAAGATGAGGCCACGTACAGCGAGTGAATGAGAATAATGATACAAGCGAGAGAGGATGAGTAAGCTGTAGCGTAGAGAGTGGAACGGACCGATGGAAATGTTAAGTCGACGGAAAGGGGAAAGAAGGAGTTACCGTGAATTGCGTGAAGCACTGCATGGTACTTTGGCACTTATGGTACTTTGCGATTCATGGCACTTGCTGGACGCAGGAACGAAAATGTGCGACTTTGTCGCGTTCTGATCTCGGTGGCCGAGGAAGAGGGTCGAGAAAAACTCGGCGAAGAAGTCGAAGGCGCGAAGGTGTTGCGAGCGGCAATTTTCTTTCGATTTTTTATGTTTTTTCAAGATGAAATTGGTTGCATTATGTTTGTTCATTCGTTCCTTGGAGATATTTATAGCAGTCCTGCAGATTAAGACACATTGTTCGGTGAAAGGCAAAATTAAAATTCACGTAGTGGAGGGTTCACGTGGTTTGTTTTTGGTTCGGCTGGCCACAAGATACCGTAAGTGTGCAGCGCTTGTAATATCGTGCTCAGGATCGTCGTGATACCACGTGAGAGAATAACCCACGGAGGGACCAGAACACGGAAGAAAAAGGAGAAAGAAGTTGCCGGTAGGAACGAGAAGGAGAAAAAGGGAAGGGGCCCATTAGGTCTCTCCTTGCTTCGCGAAGGTCCGTTCCCTGCTTCCGAACCCGCGCAAACCACCCAGAACCCCGCTGAAACCCGTATCGTTTTCCTTGACACGTATAACATGCAACAATACCTGATGCAATTCTAATAAAAACGATTTTATTTACAGATTTTATTTACTGATTTTATTTACTGATTTTATTTACTGATTTTCATTCTAATTTAACTCGACATTTTGTACCGTCGTTGCTCCCATGGGAAAACGTGTGATCCACATTTATGACAACTGTATAACGTAAGTTTCTTCAAGGGGTTAGCAATTAAGGATTAATTATAATTTTATAAAAGTAGTCGGAACTCCGCTATCTCGTAATACGTGGATTGCGTGCATTGTCTATTCCAACCTTTCCCAAACGGTTTCCTGGGACCCGAATAAGTATAGCATGAAAGCTTGCAATTATTTATATCGTTCTAGTAAAAATTATAGTACACATTGTTCTGGAATACATGAAATAAAATCCCATTTGAAACTTTTAACAACTTAGACTGCTTCAAGGGGATGATCTAATGGTGGACGTGCTTCTGATATTTCGAGGCTAGAATGCAACACCTTGTATAAGGTTACGACAGAAACGTACGCATTTATTGTAATTAAATTCTTATCTCCTCTTTCCAGTAAAAGTTTACTCACGCTGCACGAGTGATACCATAACGCAGATATGTATAAATTATCACGGTTCACCGACGTTACACGATTATCTGCGTACATTTAAATTTTCTTCACACTCTATTTCCAGTCGTAGACAAGAGCAACTCGTTCTACTTTCACCCTAATTCTTCCGTACGAAGCGCGGATTAACATCTTTGCATTGTGGTATACCGAGGGGAACGAAATCTTAATTCACTCGTTTACATGATGACCCAAGGAATCGTTACTGAATACTCGATACGAAAAAATATCTTGTCTTCTGTTTGTAATTGGTTTATATGTAGTTGAATAAATCTGAAAATACTCGATTCCTTTTGGTTTTAAAATAATGTTGCTTTTATTCCTGATGTTATCTTTTAACCCAGACGGATACCGGAGGAACGGTTCCGTTCTGGTGCGTGGCAGGCGAAATTCGATTGCGTTAAATAACATCTTCCCTGCCGCAGGAAGTAAATTCGCTGAATACGCGGGGAGGTGTGTGAATCGAGTGACGTTGAATAACGCATTTCTGTCTCAGGTGCGTAGTTACCTCCTAGCGCACGACAGCAAAGGTCGGGAGTACTTTTTAGTAAGGATAGATGGTTCAGAACGGTTTCTCGAAAAATCTAGCTACGCCACTGCCGTTCACGGTATCGTGCACCGCGCGACGAGCAAAACTGTCGAGGCGGACTATTATGTAAGCGTGCGATGCGGGGAATCACACCGACGCGTCGCGTCGGCGTCGCCGAGTTGCAATACGGTGCAAATTGGCTGCCTTTCGATACAGTTCGGTCGCACCTTGCAATTTCGCCCGGAGTTCCTCTGATCGCTCGCGCGCACCTGTGTGCATCTGCATAGTGGCCTAGTTGCATAGGATCAGTGCATTTATGGAGATTCAACGAGATTGCCCAACAACAACAACTGGAAAGCCGATAATGCCATTTTTCTAACCCAGTCTTAACCCAAACCTGACCCCTGATCACACGATCTCCCAGATAACCCAAATCCAACTAAAGGACACGGTCGAATCGTTCGAACGGAGAACGTATCGCGAATATTGGGGATTAATTCACAGGTGTTGTCGAGGGGTTTCGAAATCGTCCACGATCTATGGGGAAGATTAATCGTAAGCTTTTGTTTCGTAGCCGAGACAGGTTCTACGATCGGTTTCAAACGAGTTTCGTAAAGTATACCGAAGTCGTACGAGTGGGACAGGGTAAACAGTTGGGGAGAATTAAAGGGGCGCGCGCAAACACCTCCGCCTTAGTCCTTCTTTCATTTATGTGGTAAAGTTAGAAATGACTCGACAGAATGGACTCCAACAGCGCGACATTCGTTCTCAATTGCTCCTACTAAATATATCCTGAGAGAGATATACCGTAAACCTGAAAGAAGAAGTTTGTTAAAAAATCAAAGGAATCCATACTTCAATATTCAGATATGCCCAAGGATACTCGAGAACCACAGAGAATAAGAAAAGATCGCAAGGACCAACATCTTCAAGATCTAACCTCGAGTCTGGGATAGAAAAAAAAACCGCGTGGGGACGGAAAGGACGCGTCCTTGCGCATCGCCGGTGCAAACAATGCGTACGGAGCGAAGCTTTCACCGAAACGACGGAAGCTAATCAGATTCGAATGAATTATCTCGTAGCGCAGAATGCAAGCGTTACCTGATTATTCGTTGCGTGCTGACACCTGCGGGACCGTCGAGAAACCAGCTACTCCTTGAACTTCCATTCTTGACGACACATCGGGCATAGATGACTGGTTTGCTGGGAATGCAGCCACTTCATGATGCAGTGTATATGGAAGCAATGCGAACATTGGCCCCAAACTGGAACAGCATCGAGTCGTGGATTTTACGAGAGAAAACGTTAGTTCGGTTTCGGTCGACCTAGTCAGCACACGCGCACCCTTGTGCTTTGTTCGACGACTGACAACCGGCGTTTGCAGCGTTTACATTGACACGCGCCAGTACGCGCGCGTGAGAACACGGTCGTGTCGTGTCGTGTCGTGTCGTGGGTCGAGGGATCCGTTTCGTTTAGGACACCGATCGATATTAACCCCCGCAACTGCGCAGACATTGCCGCGGTATTTTATGAATGGTTCCGCTCTCGCAATAACAATGGGGCATTGAAATTATTTTGAAAGAACTTCAATAACATTGGAGCGACGTATGGACGCGATATCGCGTTAAACATGCAATGTTAGGAAGCTATAAATGTTATATGCAGAATGCGATAGAAGGGCCACGTTTGGAGCACGTAATTAGATGAGGGAGGAGAATCTAAGTGGAAAAGTTTTAAGCTATTTTTCGATCTAAGCTCTCCTTTGTTTGTTATGAATTTTTTAAGTTGACCAAACTGGAGTAACAACCAAGTTTTAACTATAGATTGAACGAAATGATGTCTTACACTCGACGTAAGTTGCGGTGTACTTTGATCATTTAAAAATTAAAGAATATCGATTATTCAATACAAGAAACAATTGTACATACCCAAAGGACAATCGTCTCCAGGAATTTTGCAATCCGGACAACTGGCGTCAAAGGGCATCCTGCATATACCGCAATTGTCATCGTTCGCTATCCATCGCCAGGTGGCGACTCCGGTCCAACCTGAAAAAATATTTATACATGTCAGTTAACCTACACATACTGTATTTTAAACACACTAATGTATTCAAACGTAATTAAACAACGTAACGGTAAACGTGACGTCTGAAATTCCTTTTCGTTCTCAATTGTATCGTATAGTAAACGTAAATAACATACGACATAACCGAATGTCACAAGTTCGAACTGTTACTTACTTTTTATCGTGACTTTCATTTTGAATTTGTTGCAGTGTAGTAGAATATCGTGTACAGCGTTAGATGGAGCACTTTTGAAAAGTTTTACACTAATTCTTAACAAATCGCTGAGAAACGAATGTTTTGGAGCCTCAAAATAGACAGCGTGTGATCCAAATGTCTAATTGAATACTGTTGAATACGATTTCCGATTGTACATGGCGTGCCATCTTGCGGCATTCGCGCCAAGTTTGCATAATACCGAGAGCCAATCAGATTCATTGCCGCGAAATAATATTGGAAACAAGATCAAAAAGTTGTGGGATAAATATAAGGGTGTAATGCTACAATTATACTGTCTGATTTACATCATTCGCAATAATTGATCGAATTACTCGACGAAGAAATACCTAACTTCAATCTAAATACTTTAAACAATGAAAATTAAAATATAGGATAAATCAATATCCACTTCAAATACAAACATACAGACAGATAGCAGCGTACGAATGTATTATATAATTTTGACGAGGCATTCTCAATTTCTTGATAATACTTCGGTACTTATATGCTGATTATCGTACGCAGCGGTCATTATCGAATGGCTGTAGTAGGGTAACGATTAATAGAAAATGATGACTGAAAATAAATTGAAAAGAATCTTCCGGATAATCACATCGATGCTTTGGAAGATTCTGGAACGTAAAACGCGCGCATTGAGAACCGTCGCGTCGTTTACGTCACACGTGTCGCTCGCAGAGAAACTCACCTTCTCGCTTTGTCGCGTATAGTACGAACGAAAGCTCAATGGAAACGGTCCTAGTGGCGGCGCGCCGCTGGTTGTTACGCGGTTGTGGTACGTTTTGTCGTGCGGAAATGTGAGTTTCGCGTCGAGAACGAGAAAATCGACACTGACTAGCGTGCGTCGTTAGTCAAGGAGGAGGAAACCGTGCCGGTCGCTCGAATTCGCCGAAGGTTTCTGTCAAGATAAACACGAAATAGGATGACACTACTCGTGGTTTGAACGAACATCTCGATCTCGTGCGTGCAGCCTGCCAGTCGCGACATGGCGGGTTTTCGAGACGAGGATAAGGCTCTGTTTCCTATACAGAGCATCTCCTCCATCGTGCAGATCTTCCAGAACCAACTGGAAAACAGCTCGGAACCGGATCTCGCTTTGCTTTCGATCCTCGTCGGCGCGGTCGAGAATTCCCTAACCTGCAACAGAACATTTGCGTCGCAGGAGACCACTGTTTACGACGAGCCGAAACTACCGGCGGTCGAGTTTCACATCGCTGAGGCGCTTTACACGAAGTTCCACGCTGTGATCAAGGGAGCGGTAGATCTCACGGTTTACGACACCAAATACGCGACCAGAGAACTCGTGAAAAAGGTCTCAGACGTGATATGGAATTCTCTCACTCGAAGCTACTATAAGGATCGTGCGCATTTGCAAAGCCTCTATAGCTACCTCACAGCGAATAAACTGGATTGTTTTGGGGTCGCCTTTGCCGTTGTCGCCGGTTGTCAGGTCTTGGGATTTAAAGATGTGCATCTGGCTATGTCGGAGGACCATGCCTGGGTGGTCTATGGAGAGGATGGTACAGAAACGGCGGAAGTCACATGGCACGGTACGTTATTATATTAAATTAATGAATCTATGGAACAAATAAATAAAATAAATGTTTTATTAGGAAAGGGAAACGAGGACAAGCGTGGCCAACCAGTTGAGCCAGGTGTGGCTTCACGGTCGTGGTTGTATGTGAATGGACAGGCCGTTGTATGTTCCAGGGCTATGGAAGTGGCTACCATAGTATCTGCTATAAATCCTAGTTTAAGTGCGACTGCTGATGCAGCTGAGGTGGCATTGCTCCAGCAGGAACTGTTGTGGTTGTTATATGATTTAGGTCATTTGGCCAAATATCCTATGGCTCTGGGTAATCTAGGAGATCTCGAGGAGGCTGCGCCTACTCCAGGTAGACCTCCAGCCATAGACCTATTTCAGGTAGGTTTAAACAAATATCATACAGTAGGTTTTGATGGTTGTGATGTATAGTCTTAGCAGCTTAATATATCGCGCGTCGTATTTTCTTATTTTTTCAGGAAGCCATACGAACGGCCAGGAAGTATTACGGGAATGCCCATGTATATCCTTATACCTACCAAGGTGGTTATTTGTACAGACACGGACTCCACGCTAATGCGTTGGCGTCGTGGGCAGACGCAGCGGATGTTTTAAGAAAGTGAGTATACCGAGTATAACGAGGAGCGATGTAGTCGTTGTCGTGGTTCTTCTATTCATGGATACTTTTCCTATGTCAACAAACAATAGGTACGATTATTCGAGAGACGACGGAGAAATATATAAGGAGTTGCTCGAAATAGCCAACGAGCTAATACCTCATACGGTGCGAGCAGACGAACGTCTGTTACGACAACCCCGATGTTTCGCGTACCTACTGAGGTTTTACGACGGCATCTGTCAATGGGAAGAGGGCGCGAATACACCGGTTCTGCACATAGGATGGGCTCGACCGTTAGTGAACACCATCTCGAAGTTCGACGCCGGTATTCGCGCCCAGGTTATCATAGAGTGTTATGATGTGGAGACCAAACAAGAGGAGGAGAGAGCGCAGAAGAGGGAGACCAGCCCGGAAGAAACGTTGAACAACAACAACAACAATTATTGTAAGACGAAGGAGAGGGGGAACGCGGCACGCGATTTGATCAAAAGCTTAGAGTCGAAAGTACCTTCTAATCCAGCGCCAATGCATCCTAGTATTCAAGCCTTGACCGCTGCGTGCAGCGAGAAAATACTTAACAGAGATTACCTCTTGCAAGGTGGTGGAGAACCGTTCGTCGCTCCGCCGGACGACGCTCTGCCGCCTGCACCTTCCACTTCTCAGGAGAACCTCGATCCCGAGGTAGAGACTGATTCCGAGAACGAGAGGCCAAGGATAACGTTGTACAGTCAGAAGATGAAGGGTCTGAAAGACCTGCTGCTGGCCGAAAAGCTGAACACGCACGCGATTTCGTTGCAGCTAACCGCACAGAGTCAGGTACAAATCGGTAAGAAGTCGCGCGGCACCGACGACGTTGGAGTCAGTCAACGTCCTAAGAGGACACGTCGGGAATAGTATAAGACCATCGATCGCCGTTTCGGTATCGTGAAGTATTGAAACAGTGCCACTAGATTTATTTCTATCGGTGGGAAAGATCGGTGGCGCAAACGTACGGAATGATTTCCGTACGTCGTTAGAATAGTGGTTCTTAACCGACGTGCCGCGAATGTTTGGCAATTGATTAGAAGAAGCATGATTTAGAAGACTATTCTCGATCCATCACGGCTCGTGGCCCGTTGAAAACCTGACACAAGTACTAACTATGGATAATTACCGTGAGTATTTTAAAAATTGTTGGAAGTGAAGCTTCGATTAATTTACCTCGTTTATTAGCTAATTGTGTAAATATGTAACTGGTTTGCCGCTGACGTAATTTTACGTCATTTTATAGTTATGGAGAGTGCGATAACCAGTTATGGATTTTTACAATGAATTTTCTTGCCGTAAATTGAATTTTCATTTTTCATCATTTTTACGGTTGTTATTGTAATCAACCTTGATTTAGACCAGTGCTAGGATTTAGTTTTCGCTAAACTCTGCCACGGGCCTGGAAAGATTAAAAATCTTCTAAGCTGTGCCATGAGCTTAAAAGGTTAAGAACCATTGCGTTAGAATCTCAGTCTTCGCTCACGGTTTCTTTCTGTTCGAGTGAATTTCCCGATCCAAGCTTCTTGCGGTACGATCGCAGGAAGATGGACGATGGTGATGAATTTTGTGCCGTTTCGTTTTCAATCCCGTTTGTCGTACACGTCTATCGTGTTTCACGACGATTCGATCGCTCGAATCGTTAACGCGAATCGTCGCGAAACATGTTCGCGTGAACACACGGGACGCGTTGTCGTTTAGGTACAGGGATGGGCAAAATGTATTTCAAAAAGTATTCGAATGACGAACACCTTCATTTGCATTCCGTTCGTAATCAAAACTTTTAACGGAACGGTTGCATGAGAATTTTGTATAAAGTTACAAATTTAATTATTTATTTATTTATTTATTCGGACAAAATTAATAGATTTATAAGTCCTGTATCAATGTTGTATATATATACGTATATATATATATATATACATTTATACATTTATGGTTTCGAATATTTATTAAAATTTAAAGAGTTTCCATCTATACTCGAAAACAGAAATTTAACGAAACTCTATACATATAAATTCGTAAATTTATTTTTTTTTTATTTATAAGTATTCGTAATTATTTATAAAATCGGTGAGTCTATCCAGATCGTGAGAAAGATTCACGAAAAAATTCGTACGTTTATAAAGTGTTTATTTATTTGTACAAATAAGTAATTAAATTTGTGAATTTCTAAAAATAGAATTTCGAAATGTGTATATATTCGTGAATTTACGAACTGTTTGTAAATAGTTCAATTTGTAAGTTTCTTAAAAAGATTTTAAACAATTTATATTATTTAAAATGGAATTATTTATTTGTGAAAATATTCGATATTAAGCAAGAAAAATGAATGAAAAATCACACGAACGAACGTCAACGTTTGATCACCACAGAATACACAATATTTCAGGATGTTCGTCAGGGTTGTTCTAAGCGCTGAATAGATGGATTCAGTATTTTAGATTGTATTTCAATTACAAAATCATTGAAATATGCTCGTCCCTGTTTAGATATAGGTAAAATATATACGAACAAGTTTGTAGAAGAGTACAAAAAAGTTTTCTCGGTTTTAAGTTAAACGTCGAAATCGTGAGTGCTTGCGTTTTGGTATTTTCAAACGATGAAAATACATTTGCGTGTAAATGTCTTCTTTCTTCCACAGTGTGTAGAGCTGTGCGAATTATTGGGGTGGGTTTTGGGAGGCGGGGGTGGGAATTAGTGAAAGAAGAGACGACGATATGAATCGAACAATGTACCTAATCTATAATCTTCGTGGGAGAGAGAGAGAGAGAGAGAGAGAGAGAGAGAGAGAGAGAGAGAGAGCAGGTTTTTTCAGCACAGTTATTTATTCTGCGAGTAACGATTATCGACGTAATCGATCAAATATCGATTCGCGCGTCCTTTATCCTATTTCTAATCTCTTGTTGCACTCTTATTTATTGACCCACGTGTTTTTTATTGAGCTGTCGCACTACAAATAATTACGATTGACAATTGTTGTCGTTAATGTTTTTTACACGGTAGTTAAACCTTTTTGTTAGTAATTTACGCTTTTTACGAATCTAGTAAAAAATGGGGAGACCACACATTCCACTCCGTATGTGGTGCAAAGTAATTAAGTTTTTTACCTAAGGTATTTTAAGCATAAAAATGCTCGCTTATTTTTATAACTATTTATTTTCAGAGTAATTATAAGTATAATCTATTTCTAGGACTCATTCTTTCGCTACTTTATATAGATAGATATCAGAATGAACGTAGGACAGTCCACCAAAATGGTAGCGAATCACCGCAGTCTTTGACAAAACTTCTTCGTCTATCGTGTCACAGTATGAAACGAGATTGCATTAGGAAGCTGGCTAAAATTCATTCGCGAAATGGATCGATTTAAAGTTGTACCGCTTATGTATCCAATGTTCCTCGGTGTTTTGCGCGGGCGTCGGTGTAACGAATGCGTGCAGTATGAAAATAGTTTCTTCCTTCCGTGTTAGGTGCGCGTTGCGTTAATCGAGGCCTGTTTAATTCAGAGAATTTCTCTATAAACAAGAACAGAGCTAATTGAAAGGCCACCACGTCACGCCTCCGAGGCCAACAAAGGCTCACGAGTGGCTCAAGGCCGCCTCAGTCCCGCCTTCCTTGACCACGCCCACGTTAGTGACCACAGGGTGGGGGAAATGTCCTCTGCCTTCACTTTGCTCTGTCCTCGGACTATAGAAAGTCCTCGAACAGGCCTTACCCGCGATTCGAATCCAAGCCAGAGGACTGTCGCTGATCCTTTTCATTTCCGTTCGCAAGCTTTTCTCTACGCGTTCGTTTTTTTTTTTTTTTTTTCGGGTTGTCTATTTAGTTCTTTCACCCGGTGACAGTATTTCACGAAATTGTCGATACGACTGGAGTTTTATCGTTGGGTAGAAAACGATTTTTCTATCGGGCAGCTGTAACCATCTCCGTACGGACAGACGTGGGCAAAATTTTACTTCAAAGAAACAATCTTTTTTCCACTCGTTACGTCGAGGAGCCTTTTTTTTTTCGAATAAGAATTTTGCCCACGTCTCTGCGTATAAATTCGTTCGATCGAAGAGGTGTCTGCCTGATTCCTTGGTCTTGCGTACTTTTTTGCGAAACAAGATACCAATCATGTACGTAAATAAAAACGGCATCCGCGCGTGTGTGATGCCGAAGAGAAATTATTCGACGATGTTTAGACGGGTTGTTGTAGAGTATGTTGTTGACAGGAATGAATATTAAAAAAGAAAAAAAATAATAATAATGGTCCGAGCTGATCGACGATCACTTGATAATGAAGGGCGCTATCTTACTGTGATGCTGAATATATACTATATATATATATATAAATATATATATATATAAAATTATATATATATATATATAATTATACAATTAATAATCGTAGCGAATAAACGACGCGGCTCGGCGTCGATCGGGGAACTCCCATTTCCGTCGCGACGCGGGATCCCGTGCGTCGCCGATGTCCGATTATTATAATTAATTAAACGACTATAGAAATTAAAGAAAAAAAAAAAAAAAAAAAAAAAAAATACGGAGATATAACGGGAGAGAACAATGGAATACGGAAAATCGGAGGAAAACGAAAATTAAGTGGAAAGAATTATCCGTCAGTTCGTGGTCGTTCGCATATCATGACTGGTATTCTATTTGAGGTTTTTCCATGAAAATACCCGACGACCGATCGAGTTCGATTGCCCTTCGTCGTGGTTTTTTCGACTGTTGGGATATGTGGCACGTTACGGAATCCGCGGTCAATTCGTTTCGCAGAAATTGTCACGTCGCGTTTCCCCCTTCCCCCACTTCGCGTTTAATCGAATGTTAACGGCGGGACGGAATCGCAAAAGAAAATGAAAAAAAAAAAAACGAAAAAAAAAAAGAGGAGGGTGACGCGCACGCGCGTTACGGGTATACGTAGTCCTCGCTCGTACAGGTACGAGGAAGCTGACCTTTGACCGCAAACGGAAAATATATATTTTCCAAACAGGAACGCAATTTCGTAACTTCTTTATCGTTTTTCCAACGATCCTTTGATTTAACGAGGAACAGGACTAAAAGTGAAGGAAAAAAGATACAAGGGAGACGCTGGGGGATGAAAGTAACAAAATTTAGTTCTTAGTATTTATTTCGTTTCTATCTAGGTCGATTTTCAAATTAATATATAAAAGAATAGATAAATATATTTGCATGTAATATATTGCACTAATCGTTATTCTGTTGAATGTCAATGATAAATTATGTTATAGAGGCCACTCTACCTCTGTTACTTTCAGCCCTGGTCTCCCTTATTTCTATCCATAATTTCTTTTCTTTTCTTTTCTTTTCTTCTCTTTTTTTTTTTTTTTTTAACACGCCGTATTCAGTATTTTCTTTCCTTAACAGCTGAAGATAAAGGAGCGTTTTAAAGACTACAGGGATTATTATGCATAATAATAGGAATAGTAGGAAAAGATATGGTGCAACAGAACAGTATTTTTGTATTAGCTATGGGGCGCAGAGGTGTACTCTCCGATATTAATTATTATTCGTAATATTCGAGCGTTTAGGGATCAAAGAATTTGCAATATCCGTTTCGGTGTCACGACGGCGATCAATCGCGTGCTCGAAGACAAAGGAACACGAGATGGAAACGTGGATGTCCACGGAACGCGAGCTTCGAGGACTTTCGTTTGTTCAGCCGTGACCCAACGCGATGAGGAGAGAGAATTCGGGAAAGCTGCGCAGAAACGCAGGAAAGAATTGATATTAATTGAGGGAGAAACGATCGACCAGATTCGATGCAGGATTTAGGCAAAATTGTATTCCGAGAAGTATCAGAACGTTTCCATCTATCGTCTTATCGTCTTCGTTCGACTTAGTTTCCGGTAACGTCGCTCAGTTTCGATTCCCGTTTGGAAGAAAGTAAATATGGAACGAAATACTTGTACACATGCTGCATTCAAACGTTCGAGATCGTTGACTCAAGCTGAGAGTCTCACGGAGAAGAATTTCAACTAATTTATCGATTACTCGAATAATGCCAAACTTTGCGATCGGAGATAGTCTAGAAATGGGTCTCGAATGTGTTAACCTCCGTCTCTGTTCGGTTTTCCACGCGCCTCCCCAAGGAACGAAACCGAACGTCAACGTTCGTCTTCTTGGTAGCGGTTCGATGAACTTCTTCCCTGTCTTTCGCTCCACGGACCTCGACACCCTCTCGAAGTCATAGGTTTTCAGCGGCTCGTCAAAGGCGCGCGCTTGATTCGATGATAGCCCTGGAGTAGGGCTGGGATTGCGAATTTCGACGAATCATTATCGTCAATTCAGTCATGATCAAAAAGTAAAAAGGAGAGCACGAGAAATACGATACGACACGAATACTTATCCGAATGGTCCCAGCCATACTCCGTAGGTTATTCGAGTGCAGCTTTTCCGCAAAAATTGCTCCTTGACGCGAAGTAACTTCATTCACCTCCGTAAAGCGACGCGACTCGCTTTCCGTGCCATATAACGAGGTCGCCACGCGACTCTGTATTTCCTTTGCATTCAGCTGTTCAGCTGAAAAATACGCGTTTCGTATTTCTCTTGTACACTTAGCGTACGAAAGAATGTTTAGTCGCGTGCAAAACACGTCAAGCTTGTCGGCATTAGACGCAGGACAGTAGAGGCGATAAGGGAAAAAGTCGTTTGACTCTTTACAATTTCTAACGCAGTTAATCACTTTCGATGACACCTTACGAATTTTTTTTTGGGGGGGGGGGGAGGGAATAATTACTATAGAGCAGTGTTTCTCAAACTAGGTCGGTGATCATGCTGATAGTATTCCCAATTATCGAAACATTTTTTGACAATCGTCCCTTCGTATTAAAACGATAAAAAGAATCTTGATTTGCCCTCGGTAGATGTTAAGAAAAATGAAATCGTATGAATGTTTATAAAATTCTATAGGGTCCTCTCGTTCCTTATTAAAATTTAAGCATTTCTACTCAAATTTAAAATTGAATTTATATGATAGAGTCTGTTTATATAGAAATTAATATGAAAATAAATTAAAATGAATAAAAATGAATCCATTTTTCAGAATAATTAATAGTTCATTGATTGAATTGTCACATGGCTTTATATGTATATTGATTCATGTTTCATGCCATTATAAATTATTATACATTAGAGGATATAGCTTGTCGAAACTATAATTATGTAACGTAATATGAAACCATTTAAAATTAAGATAATGATTGGCATGATAGTTCGTTTGTAAAAAAAAAAAATATATATATATATGTGTGTGTATTCAACATAATTGTAATCTTGGCAAGCTATATTATAATACATTAATATAAATAATATATTATAGTATATTTTTATAAGCAAGCTATCATTCCAACTATTATTTCAATTTAAATGGTTTTATATTTTTACGTTATATAATTATAGTCGTGACAAACGATACCGCAACTGTAGTACATTATTATAAATTATAATATAGCTTGTCAGGGCTATAACTATGTCAGATACCATTGAAATTAAATTGAAACTTGTTTAGACAGTAGTTTTTTGAAATATATTGAAATAATAATTTAATCGTTCAACAATTGCTTGTTATTTCGTCCTTTGCTCTATGATGATGTAGATTGAAAATTCAACAGAAAAATATCGATTGGTCTTATTCTCCTAAGGAGTAACGAATATCGAATTTTCAATCTACGTCATGCGAAATAATAACATAATCTACTCTGGAGGATTCGAAATAAATTTTCAATTATCGAGGGTGTCCAGGCAGGTGAGTTTGAGAAACGCTGCCTTAGAGAATGGGAGAACCGTTAAGGGTTCGATGATTTTACTGGTACACGTGTTATGAATCACTGCGAGTGTCATCTTCGCGTGTTCATTATCTACATCGTATTTTTTCTCGATAACTAGACTGCGGATTTTATGCGTTCACGATGTATGTTAATACGGAAAAGAAAATTAACCATACACCCTAAACGCATGATATTCGCGGTTAATCGATAACAGATGGTAGCTGTCGATCCATGTATAGAATTCTATTTCCTCGAGCTAATCACTCGTCGCTGAATCTCTTTGATCGAGGTCTATCTTCCACAGGGCATATATATAAATATATTTCATTCAAACGCGTAACGAATGTTACGTTGCTGAATTAAACTTAAGTCGAAAACATACGAACACGTTAAACGCTAACCACATTCGGTATTGCATACCTTCTCATGTACTTAAGGAGCGAACGAACTGATGAATGTCAGAGATGGGCAAACTTTCGTTCCGAATAGTCCACAACGAATAAAACCAACGTCCAGCCGTTTCATTCGCGACGTTTTATTCAATTAAATGGGTAATTAATGCAGTGTAAAATATTTCATTCGAAATTGTTTATCGAGAAAACTTTGCCCATTTCTGGATGGAAGAAATGATTCGCGGCTCTGTTTACTGGCCACGGAACACCGAAGAAGCGAAAATAGTCGCTTCGAAAGTGAGACTATCGTTGCATACATTCGTGGTGTTAGTATTGTGTGAGAGCAGTCCCAGGTTTTTTTCGTTATAATGGGTATTCCGATATATATATATAGATATACAAATACAGAATCTGTTACGCGCTATTGACAAAAAATGAATGGTTAAAACGGCGGATTAACGTAAAAGAATTTGTCTGTAAAATAACGTGGTCGAATACTCTTGTATTGCTCACCTCGACGTTCTGACATGATACACGAATGCGCGTTTCCGTTGGTCTCGAACAGGAAAGGGTGTAATCACAGCTATTGTTAAACCAGACACACAGAACAGTGAGTCTTCAGGCGTCATGGAAATGTCTTGTTTTTTTTCTGTGGATTACAATAAACTATTTTATTCTAACCGTGGCATATCATTATTTAAACACCTACCTTTTTCATCCCGATTTCACCATACAAGGATCCTTATTTTCGTCGACGATAAAAATTGACATTCTCTTCTTGCGCGGTGACGTCACTAGGACGTTGAAATAATTGTCTGTAAATATTGCTGGTCAAGTTGACATTTAAGAGTAAACAGAAAAAGAAATTGTTTCTTCACTGATGATACATGACTTTTGCCACATCGGGTGACATCAAAAACTAGTGACGCCACTGCTACCGTTGTATGCATTTTTCAGTTCTTTTTATTTCTTTAACTTACAGACTTTTCTCGATGGATAACGTCTTCACGCTCGATGAAGACAAAGAGCTTATTGCGAAGAATAAACAAAAGCCTCGTGACGGACGATCGAGGCATCAAAATGATTAACAATTCGTGTTTCGTGCGTGGTGGAATGTTTTCTTTTTTTTTGTTTTTTTTTTTTTTTTTTTTAATTTTTCATCTCCATACGCGTACGAGAGTGTTCCCTTCTGGCTCGATTAACAATACCCCGAACGATTATACAAAACACGTAATAAATTACAGGGATGAGTTGAAAAGTAATCCTTAGACAACTAGTAATATTTGGTCGTTTCGAAGCAAGACGTCATTCGTGTTCGTCGTCAACAATCGTTAACGAGTAAAAGACGAAGAAAACCAACGTTTCTTCGAATGGACAGAGGCTGCACGTTCGTCGAATCTACAGGTATCTCTCTGGTCATTGCAAAATACTCGTCAATGTTTCAACGGAGCATACAGGTAACTTACACTTGTACGACTTAAGACTATCGAGAACTAAAATCTATGATACAAAATGTCGCGAGGGAAAAGCGTTCCTCTCTGGACATCCTTAACACGTTAAACGCCACGATGGTGTTGTCTACACGCCGACGCTGAACTTTCAAACGACGTCAGTCTCTGTGTAATAAAAAATAATAAATAAAGAGCCTAATACTTGAATGAAAAAAAATGTTTCCTTTGCAAATACTGTTAAATCTACGTTTTCAGTATTATTACTGTTCGCTACACTGTTTAACAAGCTGCGATGGTCTGATGAACGCAATACGCCACGAAGTCGATATTTTTGCTGCCCAAGCAAGAAGTTCACCATCGGTTCGTAGGAACCAGCGTTCAACGCGTTAAACAGTACGTTTGTATGTACGCCTTCGTTTCGAATCGCGCGAATTCGTTTGCAATTGCTTTAAATTAACGTCGATTCGCGTCTTAAAATCTACGTGGACGACGTTCGAGGAAAAACGCGGAACTAATACTGCTCTTAACGAGAAGATCGTACTCTGGCACGATCGGGGAACTACGCGTCGGAGAAAAATATAAACGATCGCTAATATTTTCGAATGAAAATCATCGATACCATTACTGTTAAATATTACTGGTGATCTATCGTTTGAAAGAACCACTCTGTGAAACGTCGAAGCTGCTGGGCTGCCGCGTGACTCTCGTCCTGCAAACGTCGATTCTCGTCCCGCAAACGACGGACCTCGTCTTCCAGAGAAAGTCTTCGCCGAGTCTCTCTGGCTACCCTGAGCTCCAGGGATGACAGGTGGGTTTGCAAATCCGACACGGAATTACTGAAACAAGGAAATGAACGTATTCTTCGCTCGTACGGAAAACAGACGCGTAGAAGAATGCTTTAAAATAATAATACGTAATTGAATAAGCGACAGACATTTGAAACGAGGTCTTCAGATAAAAATCGCTACCTAGCCCTCTTTCAAGTGAACTGAGAGTTAGTTTCAAGTCATTTGAAAGGGAGAACGTTATTTCAAAATTGCTCAGGTGTGCTTGGGGTTGTACGCTAAACTTACGCGATATTACTGCACCCGTCGATGAGCCTGTCGTCCGGCCACTCCTGAGGGTGTTGCTTCGACCTAGCGTCCACGTGGTGGTGGTGGTTCTGCCAGCAGTCTACGTCCGTGTCGTTATGGTTTTTCGCGTCTTTGATCGAGGTCAAGTTGCTGGGCGCTTTGGAAATCGAATGCGGAGGTTTGGTGACGCGCGGTGACAATCTAAACACGCGAACGTATGTCAAATTCCATACAACTGCGAGGGGCTACGAAGAATGGCCCTGAGAATACGTCACGATACCAATGCTGCTGGTTTCTGTGATACGAAATCCTGACCAATAGTGAAATAACCTTTTTCAACGATTCTGAATTCCGTCCAGGGGCATTCTCTTCGGCTTTACTTTACTTTCACCCTTTATACAGTTAGTACGTTAACGATTCAGTGGTTTAGTGGCAGAGAAGAATAATTGCAGAAATTGTTAAGCAGTGATACTTGGTAGAAATGAAATCAATTTCATTGTTAATAGTTTATTCATTTAAATCATCCTTATGATACGTACAATATGGATTCGTCGTGTAACTTCACGAAAAGGCATTACTTAATTTGTTCTGTTATAGTTTACGGTCACTGTACCATCTGCACTAACGAAAGCACTTGAAAACTAAGCCAATATCACTCTCAACTCGATAGACAATTACAATTACACCCTTCTGACACTAAACCACCGAATCGATAGAGTTTATTAAATTACCTCTCTTCCTTCGACAGTTTGTTTTCGCTGGGCGCAGGACTGGAGGCTGTGCTCGCGTTGGAGATCACTGTAGCCGGCCTGGCCATCGTGAGGATCACCTCTGACCCGTTCCCGTTTCCATTCTCCTGTCCGTTCGTCGACAAAACGGTCAGCGTGCTGGCGCTGCTGCCGCACAGATTCTCCCTGGACCTGCATCTGTTCTGGATCTCGAGCAGATTGTTATTGATCTTGTTTGAGTTCTGCTGATTGATCAATGCGTTCACGTTGTTGTTGGTTATCTGACCGTCGTCAGCGATGTAGTCAGGATTGATCAGTTTCATCAGATCCTCTTGCAGCGTGCTGGACGTCAGGTTGGCGGAATTCCTGTGAGAATTCCGTACGCCTGGTTTCGGTCTGGGGCTCTGGTTTCTGGAGCTACCGCTCGAAGGGGTGACATTTCCTCCGCGATGCTTGTTGGCTCTTCTCAGTCTAGGCGACACGCTCCCAGAACCGTTCGACAGTTCGTCCTCGCTGGGCAGAGTAGTGGTTTCGGAGCAGTTTACATCGGGAATCCTAACTTCTGGCGGAAGGCTTGCGGTGAAGTCTTTCGTCTGTCGATACTCGACGTTTATCTTGTGAGGCACGGGCCTCTCTGTCATGGTGGTCTTTAGACACGTGACTTTCTCGCCCACCTTGAACTCGTGGGGTATCTCGTACCTGATAGTCTCTCGATTTTGCTCGTTGTCCATGTGCTTCCGTTCGTTGGCGTTGTGCTGACACTCCAACTCGTACTTGGAGATGTCCATATCGTACTTACTGTTCCTCCTTTCGTACAAGTCCTCGGTGTACTCGTAGCCCATCGTCCTCTTCTCGTGGCTTCGCACCTCTTGCTCGTACTTGCTCTGTCCGCTTCTATCCAACAGTTTCTCTTCCTGAGCTTCGTATTTCGAGTTTCTATCAGGCTTTCCGCCCTCGTAGTCGTACTTGGACTGCTCGTAGTCGTTGTACCTGCCCAGGTTGTTGTTGCTGTTGGACTTGGGCAGGCTGTAGGACGCGTTCTGTGCCAACGGAAGGGAATTGGACGCGGTTAGCTTCTGATGGCCGACGTGATGCGTCTCGTTCTTGTGGAGTTCCCTCTGGGACGCGTACAGATTCTCCTGCTTGATCTCGTATTTCTCCTTTTGGAGTTTCACGTAATTGGAGGTGACGTGATCCTGGCTACGGTTGTGAGCGTTGTCCAATTGCCTCTGATAGCTCTCGTGTCTCGCGCTCTCCTGTATCGCTTTCGACGACGCGTAATTGCCGTCCTTGGTATAATGATCGTGACCGTGGTGCTGCTTCGAGTTCTCCGAAAACTGTTTGCTGCTGGCGTAGTGGGACTCTTTCTCCTTTTTTTGGGAGGACTTGGGCGTCACCACTTGATAATTTTGTCTCGCTGGGAGAGGCGGCGGTGGAGTGCCGTCCGTTCGATGCCCATTGTCTTGGTCCTGCGGTTCTAGGAGCTCGTACCTGCGCGAGAAAATTCGGCTTGTAATATTTCGACCCTATATTCGATTTATATTGATCAAGGGGCATAGCTTGGGAACTTGTTTCAGCATAGATTCAAAATATTAAAAATTCTTCAACTTTGAAGTACCACGCGAGGCTGACTAAATTGTTTCTCAACATTTCAAAGACGCAATGGTGATAGTTAAGGAAGAGTTCGTGGAATAGATCGTAAAATTGGTTGCTTACCAGCGATCATCCGCGCTGCTGTGCCCGCTGCTGCTGCTGGTCATCGTTCCTTCCATGGGAAAGCGTGGATCGTTGAACGATCTAGAGCTAGATCCGGTTCCGTAACCAGAACTGTTGCTCGATCTCGGCGGACTGAAGGAACGCTCGTATCGTCTCTGATGAGACATGGCTGTTTGCTGAGTCGGCGTGTTATCTGGACTGGTTACGTTTTCGTAGTCACCCTCGTAGTTGCTCGACAAATACTGGCAATTTTGCAGCGAACAACCTCTGCAATGGAATCGCAAAATAAACGAATTAAAGTCACCCATAGACGACAAAAATTTGCTTTCGCCTAGTTCCGAGGTAACTGTAGGGCATTCGTGACAAGAGTTTTGAAAGAGTTTTGAATTGTCACTTGAAACCCGTATAACTGTGTATAGAGATAATATTTGCATACGATGCAAAGCGACTCACCTTCTAGGATTACCGTCGTTGCTCGGTGGTATGACGGTGACCGTGACTTGCGCGCTGGTCTTGAGCAAGTCGACCATCTGGTCGTGACTCAAGGTAGATACGGCTACTTTGCAAATTTCTACGAGCCTGGACCCTTGTCTTAATCCCGCTTGCCAAGACAGGCCCATGCTTTCGACCTGCGTCACCACTCCATCTGGCTGAACGTGGAAACCCAATTGTCCCAAACTGTTTCTCTTCAAAGAGAGTTCCGTAGCCGGTGCCCCTTGAGTTACAGCGCGCAGTCGAGCCACGATCTCCATTAATTCGTCCCTTTCTCCGTAATCGCCACGCACGTGTATCGTTATACACTCTCCTTGGTGGTAGTACAGTCTCAAGCTGCAATGGAAAGTACATAAATACTTCCTACTCGAACTGTTCCGATCAGAATAGATTAATAAAAGTTATCGTCTAATGGGGTCAGATATTTTCTTCGTCGATACAGCTATTAATACTTTGTAGTGCACAAGAAGCTATTAATACATCGTCGAGCGAGTTAACAGTTTGTTGTTCTTTGGTACAATGTATTAATAACATTGCGTCAGAGGATAATAAACTTGTCGATGAAAGATTGACTTGTATTTTTTTGCGAAACTAAAGGTACCTGTTCGTTTGAGCGTGCCAGCCAAGCACGCTGGCACAAGGGGTGACGAAAACGACCTGTCTAGAGTGTTCCTCGATGAGAACGACAGTGTCCACGCTTATTCCTAGATAACAATCCGTGTTCTGATTACTGTCCTCCAGTATCACTTGCCAGCATATGGCGCCGCGTTGCGACGCGTCGCAGGACAATCTTGGTCTCACCGCCGCTTTCTTCTTGCTGCTGAACGACAGCATGGCTGTTTTGGAAGACAAACGTTGGTAAAGAACATCGGTGATGGTTGCTATAGTTTCAAACACAGAGTGGAGAGATCGACTTACAAAATTTCTGTCCAGTGTCGACCACTGTGGTGGAGGAGTAGTTCGTCGCGAGATCTTTCAGGTACTCTTGCCTCGTCCTGGTCGCCATCGTGGCGAATTTCTCTGATCTGCGACAGAAATTTGAAGGTTCTTTGGTATCCTCCTATCGTTTACAGCTATAGATTTGCGTAGACTTTATCCGAAGTTACCTGTGAGCTGCGTTTTCAGCGTTGATGACCTTAGCCAGGATGAAATCGGCAAAGGTCTTTCCCTTGGCGAACGTGGCACCAGGTGTAACAGGAGGGCCAAAAATGGGCACTTCCTTGCTTCTGGACACGGCCACGCTGTACTGAGTATTATCAGAGCATGGATTTATGGCTCTGACCACGATGAATACGTGCTGAAATTGCGAGCGTATCCTCCGCGGACTGAACGGCAGCGCTCCAGGCTCCTGTTTCGAGCAAATAAATTCTGGTATTGTCTGACACACAAAAGGTAGTATATATTTTTTTCGAACTCGAAACAATGCAATTCGAGGAATAAAAAGGGAAACATTGGTGTTGCTCGTTCCGTATTATTACGATCAAAAGGTTGCCCATGCCTGCGCTCGACGCTTTGCACGGACAGGATGCAATCCCGCTTAATTGCGAATTACCACGGTCGGCTATTGTCTTCTTACCTGGAAAACTATCGTGACTATGTCGTTTCCGATGTGTCTCTTCCTAAGCAGCTGTTGCCTGTTATTGGGCGTAAAGGGTAGCATCGTCGACACGTGAAACGTTACTTCCGCTCCTCGATGCGTGGCTGCGACCGCGTGGGTACCTGTCGAGTCGGTTCTCGTATCCAGGCCAGCCTTGTAACCTTCGAATCCTCGCAGTCTTATTCTTTGGCCTGTCGTGTAACGTACAATTATGTCGACTGCCGCGGCGAGAAAGAACCGTTCCACTCCGAGTTTCCTCGTTCCGTGAAACTCGAGACTCTTTACTTTCGTTCGCTGCGCGAATCTTATTAACCTCTCGAGACCTTGAGGTAACATCTCGCGGCATAATTATTTAAACGCCGACACTCGCAGTCGCGAAAACAAGCGTTCGTTACCGTTCTCGGTTGGAGGAGTCGCTATCCGATGATAACGCTATTATAGTTGATTCCAAGATGGTCTTTATTTTACCTCGGAGTGGGACCGTTCTTATAACCGTAGTTGGTCTTTAATTCTACACGTTGCGATAGTAATTGTCGAGCATTTATCCTATTATTTTTACTACAACGTATATCTACTATAAATAGTCGAACAGCTACTACTATCACAGAGTTTCATTTAATCGTTTCGTTGAATGCTCACCAATAGCGTCGAGGAACTCGAGGAAAGCCGGGCCAGCGTGCTGGTTGTTGTACATTTCTTCCTCGGTTCTCTGACCGGATCTGCAGTAGAGGACACCGACCTTGTACCTGTTGGAGAGTCCTTGCTCGTCCAGTCGAGCGAGAGCTTCCTCAGCGGCTGGTGTGCCGAGCCTGAGACACCCGAGTTGCACTTCCGGGGCTACCAGCTCCAAAAGTTCCCTGGTGGGCAGCCTGTTGCCCTGAGGCCTGATCCCCAGCGCCTCTTCCGGTACAGAGCCACGGAGCGTCAAGAGTTCAGAGGTGCGTACAATTATTCTATACTGATTAACGTCCTTACGAATGCTGATCGCAACTGGACCAAGTTGCTCGTCCATGCCGAACCAGTTTTGGTGCTCTCGACCTGGAAACGTACCAACCAATGCTTACCAAAGTAAAACTTGACGATTCAAAGCGATTCCAGGGTTTTAGGACGGTTTCGCTTACCATGAAAGTATCTCCTGTAATAGTGTGCGCCTTCGTCCACGCTCTCGATGGGGAGCGGTCGTTTCTGCAGCGGGCAACTGTGCTTCCATAACGTTTCGCCGGGCGCTGGCTCCAAAACCGCGATACCGTACGATAAAGGCGGTCTGTGAACTCCGTTTCCTTGGGAGCACCGAGTAAGACCCACTTCTCGCTCTCCTTCGCCGCCGATCTCGTTTCGGAAAAACGGGCACGATTCCAGCAGGTCGTTACCTATACAACAGAACTCTGGATTAGGTCACGGGATTTGGCAAAACCGTGAGGTCGATGAACCTTTCGGGTAGAAGTTAAGGAAACGAGTTGGAAACTGTGCCGTACCTTTTCCGTCGCCGGCGTCTTCCTCGGGCGTCTCGTCGGGTGTAGACGCCCTGAAGGAGCTGGCAGCCGAGGCACCAGTCGCTGTGTTCCTCCTCCTCGCGAGCAGGATGCCCCTCAATTTCGCCGCGTAACCGAGATTCGCCGTGAGGGACTGGCAATCGTAATGAGCGAACGCTCGTCGTCTGTGCCTCTCCTCGACGTCCGCCGAAACCACCGGGCTACCACAGCTCTCCTCCATCGCTCGTGGCGGTTTCGCGCCCCACAATCTGTTTAATTTCAGTCGCAGCTTGGGACTCGAGCCACCTGTCGGACCGCAGACCTCGTCAGCGTCCACTGTCTGCCCGTCGGGGACGCGCCTCAGGTAATCCACGCCGACAGAATTCCGTTGATCCGACGACGATGGCCGCAGATCCTGGAGCATCGCGAACAAGTTCTCGCCGACGGTTACGGACTGCGCCACTACGTCGATGCTTCCTAGAAAGTCGAGGAACAAAAGTTGTTAAATCACGTAAGTGGTGGATTTTCGATGGATGCTTCGTTGGTTGCAACTTACCGTGAGATCCATACTCCCTTCTGAGAGGGGTTTCTGGCACTCGAGAGGCTGGGTCCGGACTGTGCGGGAGCTCCAAGCTGGAGTTGGACCTGTGAAGGGCCAATCCGCGGCCCACGCGGCTGTTCAGCCCTCCGCTGCCGCCGCCGCCGCCGCTGTGTATCGGTAGGCTCGCGATCATCTCTTCATTCTGGGGACAAAAAACAACAACTCGATAAGAATTTTAATACGTAAACAGAACACTGTCGACAGAGTACAAAATTATCGATTACTCCTGCGTTAATATTCGTCTGGCCCAAGAAGATGGCCTGTTGGAAAACTGAATCCAGGAGATAAAGATTATAAACTGAGACCATGTAGTAAATTAAACTGTCCCTTACAGATGTCACCAGAGGCCATCTTCTCTTGGATAATATTCCGCTGTGCTTGCGGTATAGACCCTGTGTCTGAGCACATTCGAAAGCCAAAGGGTTAGTAATGTTCAGATAAGCGTTATCTTTCTACCATCTGCTCCAAAATGTAACCAGCTTAAACGAACGCGACGAAAAGCAACCGTCGCCGGAAATTCGGTGGCGCTCGGCGACTTCGCTCTATTTAGGAGTTACTGCATCAACGGACGGCCGTGTCGCGGGTTAAGTAGGAATAAACTTAAGTGCCTCTAAACAAGTACAAAGTAGGACAGCTAATTAGAATCGGCCGGCCCTTCCCAGTCGCTCGTACACGTTCGAGCGAACACTCGCTGCACACCCACGCATCTGGAGCGCGTCCCGAGGGTTCCGCAGATGCGTGACGAGTTCATTCATCGAGCTGGCGGAGAGGCTTTTGATGTCGCCTCGGTTTGCAACTTCTACTACGCCGGGTTGCCCCTCTTCTTGGTCGTATCGACCTTCGCGTCAAGGCTAGGTACATTTGTGCAGAAAATGATCAAGGAGACGATATACTTTGTCACGTGTATTCCGCTGTTTGACGAGTCCCTTCTCGATCCTGCTCAGAGGTATTATCCAGCGTTTCTTTTAATTTGAACTTTTGCGTGCACGTCGCGTCAAAGTTTACTAGATGATCGGCCGATATAGTTCGCCCCGCGACCGTAATAGCTCGTTTTAAAAGCCAAGACAGAGCGTGGAGGAGGAAGGACGTTAATTAACTCGGTTCGAGATCCAGCTCACGAAGCACGAAGCGTTTATTGTTGCCTGAAACGCGATACGCGTGCAGACCCGCGTGTACTCTCGCCTGTACGAAGAAAACGGGACGCACGCTATGCACCTGCCCGTCCGCGATTGACCGTGTGAGATTTAAGCTGGTTTCACACCAGTCATATCATTGGCGGCTGGAGAGATCGCTTTTGAGGAGTATACTGCGTCCGAACACCGTTCTGTTCACCTTTTGTTAGGTGATCCGAACCCGGAAAACAAACTGTTGACCGTAGGTAGCATTTAAAATAAACAAAGGCGTCTCATGATTCATCCCATTAAGAACGAACAAGGAACGTTAAATAGGCTGGTAAGAAACAAAATTTTAGCTTCGAGATTTGTAAGAGTTCAGCGACCATTCGTCGGTCTAACAGTCAACTACTAGTCGTCGCGTTGCGTAAGAACGCGCGTACAAGCAATGAACCGTGGCGGTAAAGCGTGAATCGGCCTTTAGTCCTGTACCGTTGCTCGATCTCCAAATGTGTCCGGTGAATGGGCAATTCCATTGTTAACTCGAAACCGGTATCCGCGCTCTCGTACACGCCGACCAATCGAAGCGAACCGGGAATTAATTGCTGGCGCACGTGTGTCCACGGCTCTCGACTTTCGATAAAAAAAAAAAAAAATCGATTCCTCGATCCCGCCACCGGAAATGCTCTTGTACGCGCGCTGGTATGCTCCCTGCTCTAAAAATTATCCGAGTTTCGATTTCGTTGGCGAATTTGAGGGACGCAAGGGTGGAGGTCGTCGAACCAACGCGAACTAGACGAAATTTCGAATGTTTGGGGCATTTTCGATGGCAACGCGCGCGGAATGACGTCGACGACGACGTTCGACGGGCATAAGGATCGAGCCTCGAAGGTATTTGGCGCGAACGACGACCGTGGTCGAACCATCGAAGAGCCCGTTGCATTCCAAGCGTTCCACGCGTCACTTTGCCGCTTGTACTCGCTGCCTTGCGAGCTCCTGTAGCCTCTTCGCTTGCGCAGCGGCCTCGAAACGAGACGGTATGCGATTCGCGAGCCACGCTCGCCTGGGCGAAATTGTGAATCGCTGTTTCGTTTCTGGCAGATGTTCCGATCAATGGGACTGAATCAATCAGTCGGCGAATAGTTCGAGGGCTTGGGAACAGCGATGGGTGGGAGAACGCAGCCTCTGCGTCTGCCAGGTGGTGGCTTCACGAATGATTTATGCTGTCTGCGAGCCTCTTCTGCGTACATTAAGGGGGTAGTAAATTGTAGTGGGTTCGATACTTGTTTAGGTAGTGTTTGTACCAGACAGCATTCTGTAATTAGAGATTAATAAATTTGGAGCGAATATGAATACAAGTAACGTGGTCTCCGCCACGCTCTGACCACGCCTCCTGTGGTTCTGTTCTAAGCTCTCAAACTATAATATTCGTTTGCGCCGCAACGGGAACCGCGAACGAGCTGCAAATGATCGCTAATTGCGTTTCATCGACTGCTCGTTCCCGCTACGTCTTTACGCTTTCAGCCAGGTCACGCAGGCATCCTCGCGCTCTTCTTCCTTCGATGGTGTTTGCGTCGTGCGAAAGTTCTCAGAACTCTGTTTTATTTGGTCGGTCGACGCCATCTCGCGAACGACACTCTTCCAGGCGAGTCCATCCAGTTTCGATCCAATTCGTCACGACCCCTGCAGGTGTGACTTTGGAGCCTGGTTGTCTCGGTCAAGTGCAACCTGCTGCAATTTTTTATCTAAGAAACGACGAAGAGACGACCTCATGTGCGCGCTCAGAGCTTGACGAAGTCGCGCGATCGTTGAAACGCGAGAAGGCGGTTCGCGTGCGATTACCAGAGAAACTTAAGAGCGTATCCCGCGGTCGAAACTGGCGTTGACTCATCGTCGCTTGCTATTTTCCAAGGACGAGACCGCGATGACGTCGCGAGCCTCTAACGGAAGGAGACTGTAGAACGGAGTAGTCTGTACAATGTAACAAGACTGTCTTCTTCTGTCGTAACTTTGCCTTCGAAGATACTTGATAAAACAACGAACCGTTTTCAATTTACACGCTATTGTCACGACTCAAAAATTTCTACAATTTCCGTTTTAAATAGAGCAACACATCGAACCTTCGTGCTCGTGAAACGTCTAACGAAACGAGTAGATTAAAATTTCGCCCGTCGTCTTGTAATTTCGATGATCGGGCAAGCATTTTAATTGGACGCGCTAATTAGCCCGGATTTCCTGCTGGTAAGTGGCTCCGTGAGTCGTTACGCAAATCGTTCGTACGCGCGCAAGGACGCGCTCCGTTATTGGGAAAAATATACACGGAACAGCTGATGGACAATAGAGGGACCTCAGCGCGAATACGAGCCGTTATCGTTTCCTATTCGCGTGTCGAGTGCACGCCGGGGACCAGATACCGCTCGTAACCTGCATTACGATTTCTCGTAATTTTACTCGAGTTGTGCAACGCGACGCAACCGTGTTGTGCGAACCTGCTGAGAGCCAGCTCAGGTGCCGAGGCTTCTCGAGTAGCGTACGTGCGCGCCATGGTTAAATACCGCCTGGGAAAACGTATCCAAGGTCGACGCGGAAATCGTAGAAATTTCAGAACGAGTTCGACAACGAAGCCAGATTAACGCGAGCGTGCGATTGGAATCACGTTTCATTCGTGAAATGGTTTATTTCATTTAACAACGGAACGGAAGTGTGTGGTAGATGACCAGGTTTTAGGCAGGGTGCATTGGGCCGAAGTATCGGATACCGTTTCGTTTCGAAAGTACAGCGCAAAGTTGAGAACTTGTATTCATTCCTACCATTTATTTTATGTTTTTATTTATTTATTTTATGTAAATTGCAGTCTGCAAATTGAAATACATGCATTACTATACATACATGCGTTTCCCTCGAATGATTATTTTTTTAATAACTTCCGAGGACTGGCCCGAGCAGCGTCGATCAGTGGATTTCAAGCGAAAGGTCCAATTGCGACCGGGATACGACGCTCGGTTGCTTCGTTTGCGTATTTACCACCCATTCTGGCGAACGATAACAGGATTGAGAAAGGTAGGAGAGAAACGAGTCTGAAATCCGGTCAGCCGTGCGACGGCTGCTGACCACCGGAAGTCATGCGTGTCCGAGGACCAGGCCCGATGCTCGATGCCTCCGCGTATAGTATTCCTCGACAATTCCTTTTTCCTGTCAGCTAATGCTCGCGAATCGTTTCCCCGCGTTTGATATGGCCGTCGACTTAAAACCCTTCGCGTTCATTCATTTAGTCGTACACGAAATCGGAACATCCCGTTCGTTACGATAATTATAATATAACAGCAGGGTGGATTTTCGATGAACGCGAGAACCGAGGTATTATAGTTTCGTGCGCGTAACTAAATGCTGCGGTTTTCAAAGCGAGAATTATCCGTACTGTCGCGATTACGCGATTGCAGCAAAGTATATACGAATGTAAATCCAGTGGGAACTCTGATATGCGAGGTGGTGAACATGTCTGCGATCAAAGACGTAGAATCTAATTGAAAGAAGTCGTTACCTAATGTGTACCTACGTGTAAATAGAATGGATGCAATTAAATTTATATTATATTGCACGCCATGTAAAAAATGTAGGTCGAAGCGTAGAATTAAACGCGTACAAATCGTTCTGTTCGAAACGTAAATAACTAAAAGCTTGCGTAACGCTTTTCTATGAGTCATTGGTAATTATTATCTCCAAGGATATCTTCCACTTTTACGATAACGATCAAAATGAATTCCGATCGCAAATACTTGGCGCGAATAGTAATAGTAATCGCGATACGATGCCAATTAGTAGATTAGAAAATAAAAATCCGTCACGTGTCTTCCGAATGCGCTCGATCGAACAACCGAGTTAAAACGGAGTCAACAACCGGCGTTACACGCGTTAGAGTCACTCGGAGGTGATAAGGGACCACCCTCGAACTACCGAGAAGCTTTCAGTGTCCTGATAACTGGCGGTGGTTGCGCGATGGAAGCCATTGGAAGCATGCGCGGCAATAAAG